CTTGTGGTTCCGGATCTGGCTTATATTGAATTCTCGCGGGCGCCTACAGGCGATCTTCGCGGTGTTGTTATGAGCCACCGGACGATCATGCATCAAATGGCTTGTCTCAGCGCGATTGTTTCCACCGTGCCTGTGTCTTCGAGCATGGCTAAGCCACGTGGCGAGACAATCATCAGCTATCTTGATCCGAGACAAGGCATTGGTATGATATTAGGCGTACTGATGGCCGTATATGGTGGCCACACAACTGTCTGGCTCGAGGACCGAGCAGTCGAGACACCGGGTCTATATGCTCATCTCATTACAAAGTATAGAGCGACCATAATGGCTGCAGACTATCCTGGCCTTAAGATCGCTGCCTACAACTACCAGCAAGATCCGATGGCGACCCGGCATTACAAAAAGAATTCGGAGCCAAACTTCGGAAGCGTAAAGCTTTGCCTTATTGATACGCTCACAGTCGACCCCGAGTTTCACGAAATCCTTGCAGATCGGTGGTTAAGGCCCATGAGAAACCCGAGGGCCAGGGAAATTGTTGCGCCCATGTTATGTCTCCCTGAGCATGGCGGTATGGTCATCAGTGTGCGGGACTGGTTAGGCGGCGAAGAACGCATGGGCTGTCCCTTGACCCATGAGATGGACCCGCCTGAACGCGAGGACAGCAAGAAGGAGGAGAAGAAATCCGGGAAGGCGGATAACAACAGTGGGTTTGGCAGCAGCTTACTGGGTGGTGGTGGTGCCCCAGCGCCAGCCCCGCAAGAGCAAGGAAAGACCGAGCTTGGTGAGGTCCTTTTAGACAAAGAAGCACTCAAGAGCAATGAGATTGTTGTCCTGGCCATGGGTGAGGAGGCTAGGAAGTTTGCAGGAACCATGCCTCACGCCGTGCGCGTCGGCTCGTTTGGTTATCCCATCCCCGATGCCACTCTCGCAGTCGTCGACCCTGAAACCAACTTGCTGTGCACTTCGAACGTGATTGGCGAGATATGGGTGGACTCTCCGTCTCTATCTGGCGGCTTCTGGGCATTGCCGAAACACACAGAGGCTATCTTCCATGCACGTCCTTACAAGTTTGAGGACGGCAATCCGACCCCTATTCTAGTAGAGCCCGAATTCCTTCGAACGGGCCTGCTTGGCTGTGTCATCGAGGGCAAGATATTCGTGTTGGGTCTTTATGAAGACCGGCTTCGCCAGAAAGTGGAATGGGTAGAACACGGGCAAGAGATCATTGAACATCGCTATTTCTTCGTACAGCATATGATCGTCAGCATATTGAAGAATATCCCCAAGATCCATGATTGCACGGCCTTTGATGTTTTTGTCAACGAAGAGCATCTTCCCATTGTTGTGTTGGAATCATATGCAGCATCAACTGCGCCGACTACCTCGGGTGGTCCTCCACGGCAGCTGGACTCTGTTCTTCTCGAATCCCTGGCCGAAAGATGCATGGAAGTCCTGTACCAGGAACACCACTTGCGGGTTTACTGCGTGTTGCTCACGGCTCCCAATACCCTCCCCCGTGTTACTAAGAACGGAAGACAGGAGATCGGTAACATGCTGTGCCGCAAGGAATTTGATGCCGGATCTCTGCCATGCGTGCATGTCAAATTCGGTGTCGAACGCTCCGTCCTCAATCTGCCAGTAGGAGTGGATCCAGTCGGTGGTATCTGGTCTCCGCTGGCCTTGATGTCACGGCAAGAAATGCTTGCCTTGCAAGAGAAACAATATTCGGGCGTTGACTACCGTGATGTGGTCATGGACGACCGCACCTCGACGCCCCTTAACAACTTCTCGACTATCGTGGACCTTCTCCAATGGCGTGTGTCTCGACAGGCCGAAGAACTGGCTTATTGTTCCATCGACGGCCGTGGAAAGGAAGGCAAAGGCATTACTTGGAAGAAATTTGATCTGAAGGTTTCTGCCGTAGCCATGTACCTGAAAAATAAGGTGAAGGTTCGGTCTGGAGACCATTTGGTTTTGATGTACACCCACTCGGAAGAATATGTTTACGCTATCCACGCCTGCTTCTGCTTGGGTGTCGTTGCCATTCCCCTTGCTCCTATCGACCAAAACCGCCTCTCCGAAGACGCCCCAGCTTTTCTACACGTCATCAACGACTTCCATGTCAAGGCCATCCTTGTCAACAGTGATGTCGACCACGTTCTAAGGCAGAAGCTTGTTTCTCAGCACATCAAGCAGTCCGCGCAAGTGCTCCGGATCGGGGTTCCGGCGATATACAACACCACGAAACCTGCAAAGCAGTCACATGGCTGTAGAGACCTTGGTTTTACCGTTAAGGATACATGGCTACGTACCAACCAGGCAGCTCTTGTGTGGACATACTGGACTCCGGACCAAAGAAGAATATCGGTCCATATCGGCCACGATACAATTATGGGCATGTGTAAGGTGCAGAAGGAAACATGCCAGATGACTAGTTCAAGGCCAGTCCTAGGTAGTGTGCGAAGCACTTTGGGCCTAGGATTCCTTCACACTTGTCTAATGGGTATCTACGTTGGTAAGTGGACATGCGATAATATCACCTGCGTTGTCTGTGGGATTAACAAGAGTTCTAGGAGCGCCGACCTATCTTGTTTCACCTGTCGATTTTGCGCAGAATCCCATGACACTCTTCGTTACCCTTTCACGCTATAAGATCAAGGACACATATGCTACTAGTCAAATGTTGGATTACGCAATGAGCGCAATGGCTGGCAAGGGCTTCCAGATGCAAGAGCTGAAGAACTTGATGATATCGGCCGAGAGCCGGCCACGAGTTGATATTTGTGCGTTTCCTTCACATGCTGGTTGTCTGGACGCTATATCACTGACATGATCACAGACCAGAAAGTGCGCCTCCACTTTGCTTCGGCCAGTCTGGACCGCACCGCCATCAACATAGTGTATTCCCACGTTCTCAACCCCATGGTTGTCACCAGATCCTACATGTGCATCGAGCCTGTCGAGCTCTGGCTCGATATCCGGGCTCTGCGCCGTGGCCTGATCTGCCCCGTAGATCCAGATACCGATCCAACTGCTCTTGTCCTCCAGGACTCAGGTATGGTTCCGGTAAACACGCAAATCGCTATCGTGAACCCGGAGACATGTACTTTGTCTCATGTCGGCGAGTATGGTGAGATTTGGATCCAGTCGGACGCTTGTGCCAAGTCGTTCTACGGTTCCAAACAGGATTTCGACATGGAGCGCTTCAACGGTCGGGTTGTGGATGGGGACCCTAATGTTGCCTATGTGCGTACTGGCGACCTGGGTTTCCTTCACACGGTCACAAGACCCATTGGCCCCGGTGGTCAGCCCGTTGAGATGCAGGTGCTGTTTGTCCTCGGAGGAATCGGTGAGACGTTTGAAGTCAATGGGTTGAACCATTTCCCGATGGACATCGAGTATTCGGTGGAGCGATGCCACCGCAACATCGTGTCTGGCGGATGGTAAGTGACCAAGTCCACGTGCGGCCCCAAAGCACCCCCTGCTAACCATTAACCCAGTGCTGTCTTCCAAGCTGGAGGTCTCATCGTGGTTGTCGTTGAGGTCACAAGGAAAGCCTATTTGGCATCTCTCGTCCCGGTGATTGTCGATGCCGTGCTCAACGAGCACCAAGTCATTGCTGATATCGTGGCTTTTGTTTCCCACGGAGACTTCCCCCGATCCCGTCTCGGCGAGAAGCAACGTGGTAAGGTACTTGCGTCATGGGTGACGCGAAAGCTGCGGACCATTGCTCAGTTCAGCATCCGCGACATGGAGGGACCTGAGAACCCTTTTGCTGAGGCGCCTCAGCATCGTGTCAGCCGGGGGTCGAAACCGGGAAGCACCATGGGTAACAGCACTCGCCGGTCCACCGTTGTTCCGGACAGTGACTTCATGCCTCGTTCCCCTGCTCCAGTCCTGGTCGAACAATCCGAGGCATCAATCGGGTCCTATCCCGCCATGCCAGAGCCCAGCCTCAACAGTCCTACTGGCACGATGCCCGAAGGTGGTGCGTCGGCCGTGCCGCACATTGCTGAACCGTCGCGGCCAACAAGCGCCTCGACGAACGGGGCTCCTCCGGTGCCACGGAAAGAGCTGCCCACAACCATCAGCAACCCCGACTTCGGCTTCGACTTTGGTGACTTCGCCAACTCCGCCTCAGCCGGCTCACTTGCCGGCCCAACCGCCGCCGGACCTGGAACCGAAGCTCTCCCTTACCGCCATGACGCGCCGCCAGGCGCCCCAAGCAACGGAGGCTTCCCCGTCCGATCTGATTCGTACAACCGCAGATCCCTCGCAGACCCCATGGAGGGCAGCACCGGCGACTGGCCCCAAGAAGCTCTCATGTACCAGGCCAACCTGGGCTACGATGACGGCCACGGAATCCACCGCAACCAAATCTAGTACATACCTGTTCCACAAAAGCATACCTCATCCAACCGCCTTGCGTTGCCTTCTCCGGGTCTGAAGTACTATCTACTCCGTACTACTACTTACCACCTTCTCCTCTTCCCCAGTCCCCCCCTCCTTCTCTTTTTGCATAGCCTGTCAAAAATCACGCTTACACCTTGCATGATCCCCTCCTACACATATGCACCTCACCCTGATTTTTTACATCTATAACCTGTTAAACCCCCCCCCCCCCCCCCTTTACAGTGTCTATCCCCTTGTTTCTTGTTTTCTGCTGCCCATACACCCAGTTGTCAAGAGGTAGAGAGGTTTGTTGCCCGTTCCTCTTTTTTTCTTTTTTCTTCTTTTTTTTCATTCTTTCCATATATGATGACCGACATGCAATGCTTTGTACATACATACCCATCCCCTCACATCCCATTCGCATTATCGTATAGGCATGTAGACTTCTACTATGTCATCCTATATAGATATTCTTTTATTATGGGCATACCAGGACTGATTTTGATTTGCCTGGCTGAGGCTCTGTAGTGTAGTGCAGTGGTGCGTGGCCACTTGTTACTAATATACTAATAGCAATCCAAGGCACCAACTCCTTTTCAGAAGAAAATAACATCCCCATTAACATTATAAAATTCATGTCATGTCATTCCTAATCTGTACAATCAATTTCTCCCAATGCCTTCGTTTTTTGTCTTCCTCGAAGCAAGATGTACTTTTCCCAAAGACTCCAATGAAGAGCGAAATGGCCCGAGATAATGATATGGAAATAAAAAAGAGAAAAATAGATGAAGAGATATGGGATATATGCTGGTTGCGATTGACGCTTACTGGCTCTCGGCCTGCTTGGTCAGAGCCTCCAAGTCAACCTTGGGCTTGGTGGGACCGTTCAGCATTTCCAGAGCTTGGAGGTCGTCGTCGGTGAGGGTGTTGGAGCGGATCGGGCGGAAGGGGGCAGGGGAGCCGGCACGGCTTGTGAGGAACTAGGGGCCAATGTTAGCAAAGGTTCGTTTATTAGAGTGATTGGGATGTAGGAGGAACTTACAGAGCTGGCGGCGCTCAGAAGGGCGATCAAACTAGCCTGGACCACGTCCTGGTGGATACCAACACCCCAGACCTGTTCCTTGCTACCCGCCGCAGTACACTGGATGTACGTGGCGGCCTTGACGTCACGACCGAGACCGATGGAGTGCTCCTTGTAGTCGACGACATCGAGGTCGATGCCAAGGGTGGCCAGGGCGTGGGCCAGAGAGGAGATGGCACCGGCTCCGACACCGGTGATGGCGTGCTGGATGCCGTCGATTTCGATGACACCGGTGAAGCGACGCTTGAGGTTTCTGGTGTTGAGGGCTTTGCCCGGCTCGGGGGGCGCAGGTGACGTCGAGCGATCCGTGGTGATGTTGTAGTCGACCAGGTTGAAGCGAGGGTTGGACTTGAGATGGTAGGCTTCTTGGAAGAGATCCACGACTTCGCTGGGGCGCAGCTCCCGGCTGACCTCCTCGGTCTTCTTCTGCACAACCTTGCTGAACTCGACCTGCAGTGTGCGCGGGAGATCCAGCTCCAGACTGCGCAAAATGACCCAAGCCGCACCACCCTTGCCACTCTGGGAGTTGACACGGATGACGGCTTCGTAGTTTCGGCCAATGTCCTCGGGGTCCAAGGGGAGGTAGGGGATCTCCCACTTGTGCTCGTCGGTGGCTCCGGCATCCTCGCGCAGCTTGAAACCCTTCTTGATGGCATCCTGGTGACTGCCGCTGAATGCGCAGACAACCAGCTGGCCACCATAGGGCCATCTCTCGTTGACGGGAATCTTGTTGCTTTCCTCGACCACCTTGATGACCGCGTTGATGTCGGAGAAATCAACCTTGGGGGAGATTCCCTGAGTGTAGAGATTGAGAGCCAGGGTGACCAAGTCCACATTTCCCGTTCTTTCGCCGTTTCCGAACAAGGTTCCTTCGACTCGCTGAGCACCGGCCATCTGAGCGAGTTCGGCAGCGGCAACGGCGCAACCACGGTCGTTGTGGGGGTGGATGGACACAACATACTTCTCGCGCTCGGAGACGTGACGGCAGAAGTACTCAACCTGATCAGCAAAGACGTTGGGGGTCGACATCTCTACCGTGGCGGGCAGGTTGAAGATGATGGGGTCCTTCTCTGTGGGCTCCCACGCAGCCTTGACGGCTTCGCAGACCTCGGCGGCGAATTCGGGCTCTGTGTCAGAGAAGGTCTCGGGAGAGAACTCGAAGTGCCATTCCGTTCCAGCTGTTGACGGGTCATCCTTGGTGATAGAGCGAGCGTACTTGGTGCAGCGCACAGCCATCTCCAGACTCTTCTGCTTGTCCATGTTGAACACAATGCGACGGAAGCAAGGGCTGGTAGCCAGGTAAATGTGCAGGATAGCCTTCTTGGCGCCCTTCAGGGAGTCGACCGTGCGACGGATGAGATCCTCTCTGCAGGGGGAGAGAACCTGGAGCCAGACGTCATCCGGGACCAGACCGGGGGTCTCGACCAGGCTACGGGTGAAGTCGAAGTCGGTTTGCGAGGCCGAGGGGAATGAGACTTCGATTTCCTTGTAGCCGATATCGCGGAGCATCTTGAAGAAGCGGAGTTTTTGCGCCCCATCCTGTAGGTATCGCAAGAATGTTAGTCTTTCCTCAACGGGATGTAGGGGTGCACAAGGTCCGGAATATTTCCACGAGACGCAGCCACCAAGAAACTCACCATGGGGTCAGGCAGACTCTGGTTGCCATCTCTCAGATCGGTGGCCAGCCACCGAGGCGGGTTGTCGATGGTCTTGTTAGGCCATTGGCGGTCAGGGAGGTGGAGGGGCTGGAAACGCTTGTATTTTGTCGAGGGATCCTTGAGCCTTTGCAGGAGAGTCAAGTCAGTGGGGGGAGTCAATTGCATTGGGGAGAGACCGGAAGCGCGGGAAGGAGAACCGTCATCCACGGCGGGAGACAGAATGAGGGGGAGGGGCTCTGAAATCTGGAGAGTGAGAGAGAGAGAGAGACATACATGGGCATGATGATGGAGATGCGGGAGGCTCCGCAGCGGGGACAAGAGGAGAGCGGGAGACAAAGACGGGGAAGAGAGAAGGAAGAAGAGGGAAAAGAAGACGGTTTTCAATCAACCTCACGGAGAGGACAGGCAGGGATGGTTTGGAAAGTCGAAGCTAAAAGGAAAAAGACCGATAGGAGCTGAGGGCCGTGAGCTTTAAAGGCGGCGGGCAGGCGATTGGCAGCCAAAGCATGAGTCAAATCCCATGACGCTCGCCGCCTTTTCCTCGATTTTTTGCGCCGACAGCGGATGGCGGGGCGCTCTCTGATTTGGTACCGCCACTTTCCATGATGCATCCCTCGCATTGGAGGCGACCCAAGAACTTTCTCTCTCCAGGAGATGGAGTACCGCGATCAATCACCAGGCAAGAATTAGCAATCGAGTACGAAATCCCACTCCACCCCTGGCCGCTAAGCCGTGCGGTCTAGTTTCATCGGCCGGCTTGGGATTTCGCAAAGTCTCCAAAGAAAGCGGCCGGGACTCCGCTCCTCCCTCGGCAGGCCGACACCGGAGCCGTCCATTCTCCAACAGCGGATTGCTTGCCGTCGATAGCCGTCGCCAGCCGGTCACGGGCCAGTCGTCATCCGGATTCAGGTACAGCACAGAGCAGACATCAAGTCTTATTGGCAGTACGTGTGGGAATAAGTAGGTAATAACAAGTCGGTAAGTACATACCTCACCGGTCAATCCAGATGCTAATGCACAAAAAATCACATAAAATCTATTCACAGAGAAATCCCTCATTTCCGGCCCTTCTTGTTGCCCCCCTTGCCCTTGTTGCTTTTCGGCATCTGCCCATTGACCTGGCTTTCCCGGGCCACCTTACCCTTCTTCCATCCCGCGCCGGCCTCGTGCCGCTGGCGCGAGTCATCCAGGCGCTTCTTATCCTTGTTGCTCAGCTTCTGCTTGTCCTTCTTGGACTTGACGGCGTCGGGGCCGTTGAGCTCGGAGGCGCCCAGCTTCCGCGCCGCCCGCTTGTCCCGTTCCGTCTCGAACCAGGTACGCTTCGGCCGCGACTTGATCTCCGCCTCGTGCTTGAGCAGGTTCTCGCCCTTGGTCACCTGCATTTCCACCTGGGCCAGCTCCTTCTCCATCTTCTCCTCCGAAAGCACCTCTTCGATCTCATCCGCCAGATTCTCCGCTTTTGCGGCCCAGGAATCCGCAACCGCCGGCTCGATGATGCGGCTGGCAATCTTGGCTCCTTGGGCTTTGCCGGCCTTGACGGCGGCCTTGACCACCTTACGGTCGGGCTCGGCAGCGATGGTGCAGGCCCGACCGGACCGACCCGCACGCGCAGTACGACCGACACGGTGCAGGTAGATCTCATGGCTCTGCGGCGCTTCGTAGTTGATGACCGTCTCGACTCCCTTGATATCCAGACCACGAGACGCCAGGTCGGTGGCCAGGAGGAAGGCGACCTTGCCGTCACGGAAGTTCTCGACACTTTTAATACGCTGTAGTCTCCCAGTTAGTATCGTCTATCCCATCTCGTACCGGGTATAGGTTAGCATACCTGTTCTTGGCTCATGCTACCGTGGAGCTCAGCAGCCTTCAATCCCAGCAGTCCGAAAATAATGCGCACCCGATGGGCCTCGCGCTTCTGACGGAAGAAAACAATCACCCGACCAGTGTAGATCTCCTTGCAGAGGTAAAGAAGGTAACCCAGCCGTTTATCTTCACGTCCAGGGCGTAGACGCACGAATTCTTGGACGAGGTTCGAGGCGGTGTTTTTCTTGGCGTCGACCATCAACCGCACGGGACGGTTGAGACCGACGCGAATGAGCTTGTCGACGGTGTCAGTCATCGTAGCCGAGAAAAGCATCGTCTGGCGCGACTTGGGGATGGTGGTGAGAATCTCGTTCAACTCGTCCGCGAATCCGTCTTCGAGCATGCGATCGGCCTCATCCAGAACCAAAATCTCCAGGGTGTCGACGGTGAAACTGGCCGAGTTGCGCATGTGATCGATGAAACGACCGGGGGTGGCGATGATCACATCGGGACGCTTCTTCAAGATGTTTTCCTGCTCGCGCAGACTGTAACCACCGACCAGCTGACAGAAGGTGATATCCGTATACGTGGCCAGCTTCGTAGCAACATTGTAGCACTGGACCGCCAATTCACGGGTGGGCATGAGGATGGCAACGCGACTCGTCGGGACCTTGCGCGGCCGGAACAGGAGACGTTCGAGGATGGGGACCACAAAGGCAGCCGTCTTTCCGGAACCGGTGACGGCACTACCGACGATATCCTTGCCCAGAAGCGCCACGGGGATTGTCTTCCGCTGGATAGGAGTCGGGTTCGAGAAGTTGACGCCGGCCAGACCACGAAGGATGGGACGAGAGAGGTTGAATTCCTGGAACGACCGCTTCGCATCGGCTGCAGCAGACTCGGATGTCTTCTCCTCCTCTGGCGCAAAGAAAGCCTTGCGCTTCTCGGCCTCCTCCTCGTCGACCTCACTCTCCACGTCCGACTCGCGGTCCGAGGCAGCATCATCAGGGTGACCGACGGGGGTCGCAACCGAGTCGTTATCCGAAGCAGCGTCGTCGTCCTCATCCTCATCCTCACCGTCGTCCTCTCCTTCATCACTGCCCTCGGCCTCCTCCTCATCGTCCTCCTCAGCATCGGACTTTTCGCTCTCCTCCTGCTCACCATCAACCCCCATGCCGAACCCATCCTCAGCCAGCAGTTCATCATCCTCGAAGTCGACATCCATACCTCCGTCGTCCTCCTCATCCTCATCCTCATCCTCATCCTCATCCTCATCCTCATCCTCATCCTCATCCTCCTCGTCAAACCCACCAAACTCCTCCGCCTGCTTCTGCTTCTTCTTCTCCTTCCTCGCCAACTCAGCCTCCTTTTTAGCCTGCCTCCTCTCAATGATATCATCAATATCCACCGCCTTCTTATCTCCCTTCTTACCCTCCTCCTCCTGCGCACCACCAATACCCCAGCCATCAAACTCCGTCACCTCGTTCGCCGCACCACCCACGTCGAACTCGAAATCCGAATTCAGCGCTCCATCATCTTCAGCCTGGTCCTCCTCCTCCTCTTCCTCCTCATCATCCTCCTCCACCTCCTCCACAACAGGCACAGCCTTCCCCTTCTTCCCCTTCTTCTTATTCTGAATCGCCTGTTGCTGCTCCTGCTTCTTCACCTTCTTGTTCTTCCTCTCGGCCTGTTGCTCCTCTCTCTTGCGCTTTTTCGTTCCCTTCAGCTCATCCCCCCCCCCCTCCTCCTCCTCCTCCTCAATATTCGCTAACGTGTCATTCTCATCATCCGACAATGTAAGGACGAAATCGTCGTCGGCGGCACTCCGCTTTTTCGAACCGGCCATTTTTCGCCGTGTATGTTATCGTAGTGTCCGAGATTTCTCTCTCTGGTTCTCTTTCAGGATGTTCGTGTAGGAGTTGAATTGAGAGTGAGAAAGTTCTTAAGAAGGGTATAAAAAAAAAGATACCCCCTTCTAAAAAGTCCAATTCGTATGGTTGTTTCTTGTTTCTGGTTCGGGGAAAGAATGGAAAAAAGTTCAAATTTCGAAGGCGGTGGGGGTGAGTTCTGGTGGCAGAATTTTGGGGTCGGGGACGGAAAGTTGCGACTGGCTAATCTAATTGGGTGTTGCGGTTGGTGTTGGTCTCGCACCTAGATAGTACTCTACGGAGTAAGTAGATATGTACTCCGTAGCTTGTTCTACAACGTCAAGGTACAGATGGGACTACCTAGGGATTCACAATTTTATTGTCAATTTCATTTTCAATTGCTGATCGGATAAGCCCAGTTTATTTAATTGCAGTGAAATTCATTTTTGGTGTCGTACATCCTCTTTTCCTTCCCCCCGCTTTTTTTTGGTTCTTTTGGTCTTTGGTCTCTCTCTCTCTCCCTTTTTCTTTCTTTTTCTTTTTCTTTTTTTGAACATGGGGCATAGACCGAGTTTAAGTCGATTAAGGGTCCTGCAGTAATTCCTGGGGTGCCACAACAAAAATAGACAGAGCAAGTGAACTCATCGATAGTAACACATGATTAAGAAAGGAAACAAAAGAATATGGTTATTCCAATGCTGATATGGTTGTCGCCATTGCTTGACCGACTGCCTCTTCTTCAAGCAAGAAGCTCCGTTGAGGACGAGCGGTAGGAGGAAGATCACAGCCCAATGAATCCAATGACTAGACGGGTGAGGATCATTCAGGTTCAACGATAGTTTAATACGAAGGTGGTGTTCCGAACAAAGTAGTAGACATCGAGGCTAACACGGTCAGCAGGTTTAATCGCATATCATCAGACAAGGAACACACTCACAGTCTCTCAAATTTGCAAGCAGCTCCCTTCAACTGCCCCTGCAACTCAAAGCCGTATTTCTCCAGCCAGTCACGGGTCCATCTGTACACGGCACGGTCTTCCGGCTTAATACTTACGCAGAAAATAAGCCGAGCAAGTACACGCTGGCCTCCCAAGCTGTATCCGCCCATGCCACGGTTATCGAACGTGTAACCTTCCTTGGACATGTACATTGGGTCGCAGATTTGCAAGAGCTTGTCCAGTAGACAATACCCGACACCTTTGCGCTGTTGCTGAGGAAGGACGAAAACCTCCAACTGCGCGGTAAATTTACCGGCAGTGTCTGGACCCGAGATATACTCACTGGCAGTAGCGTAGCCGAAAATGGCCTCTCGTTGACGGTAGTTGCTGCGCTCCACGGCGACAATAAAGGGCAACTGCGCGGCTTTGGCGGCTTGAATACGCTCCCGAATGTAATCCGGCGTCACATCTCTGGTGTGTATACTAAAAGAAGACTCGCGAGCATACCAGTTGTAGATGAGTAGGAGCTGCGGAACATCTCTCATCTCGGCAGGCCGAAGGTAGATGTTCACTTTGGGCGCGTTTGGGTTCACTTCTCTGCTGGCTAAGAATGCCTCATTGGCCCGGCGTACCCTCAACAGCCTTTGCTCTTCATCTTCCTCCTCTTTCTTGGTGTGCATGGCCAGATTCTTGCAGTATCCTTCAGCCGTTTCACTCCTATGAAGAAGCCCTTGCTCGTCATTCGGGTCGAGGATGGTCGTATGGTCAGGCAATTTAGGTATGAAAAAGGTGTTTATCCCATCTGGATGCGCTGTACCGTCCCAAAAGCTCTTGTGGTAATTGTCAGCGTAGCAGGACATCACAATAGTGTAGTCAAGGAAACGACGAAACTTGAGCTTCCACTTATCAACATGGTACATTTCAGGAGGGACGTAAAACCAGTTACACAAGTGGGAGTCTGGCTGCCATTCCAAGCTTTCGGGAAAAGGTGGCAGCTTGTTCACGTTCTGAGACGCATGTGGGTGGCGATCATATAACAAGAACTTTGCTTGTAGTTCTCTCTGCGCCTCAGTTGGCTCCGAGGCCAGAGTCACTTCGCCGTTGATGACATTAGGGTACATAACGAGATCGTTTCTGTAGGCATCCCACTGGGGCAGCAGTTTTTCCCAATCATAATTAGCCTTGAGCTCTTCCAGCTGCTCCAGATTGTCGTCTTCCGGGCTCTCCTCCCCAGATGATTCTGGTCTAGAGGATGGTTTGGTTTCTACTACGGGACGAACACGCCGACGTTTTGCGATATCCTGATAAACCTTGGAGTCTGGGTCAACACCTGGGCCATCCCGGCATTTTGCAAGCACGGCAGGATCTGCAGTTTCAACCTCTGTTTCTTCTTGCCTTTTGTTGAAATTGGCGAGCTCCTCCTTTTTCAACTTCTCCAACTCTGCGCGTATTTCTGCGCGAGTAGGGACTCGCTTTCTCTCTGCGGCAGGCTCATCTCTTGGATCGTGGCTATTGCCTCCAGGAGGAATATCCTTGTCTCCACTCTCGCTGATATGAGGCAAGGCATTCTCAACATTGCGTTGTTTGGATTTTGTTCTGAAATCACGCAGAACAATGTCATCTGACTCGTCGGAAGACGACATGTTGTGTTTCTGTTTATCTTCAGTTCATTTATCAGTAACCATGTCATGTGGCAAAGCATTGGCAGATCTAGAGTTATCACTTACTAGGCGACGCAGCTTGAGACGGTTCCTTGCCAGCTGGCGAGCCAGACCCAGTTTGGTCCACACTTTGGGCGAATGTTGACGGTCTCGCCTCAGAAAGCTCGTTGGACGCGTATGAAAAGAGAGGGGTGGGAAATGAATGTGCGACCTTTCGTTGAGATTGGTATTCACAACCCAGAGCCCTACGTTGTCTGGTCAGGAAAGTCTGGCCTCGATTTTGACGCTGGTTGTTTCTCTGGCGTGGAGGGGTGTAAAGGGGCAGTGGTGGTCTTGGAATCACACGGCGAGGAGGGTTGTGGGTTGTAGTCGACTGTGTAGGAAGCTTGACCACAACTTGAAACTTGGGGTCAGAAGATGTGAGATCTTTGCCGTTGTTGACCTCCAGGCAACTGTTGGCAACCACAGGAGCGGGTGCAATGTTTAACTTGGAGATTGCCGGGGCGATAGAAGCCATGGCGTCTGATGTTGCCTCGGTGACTGGGACACTTGGTGCTGGCTTATGACAGCAGTTCTCTTTCATGTTACACACCTGTCCCAGGTTCACTATGAAGTGAGGTTTGGGTGGGCAACGGGTCTGCTCGGCGGGCTGTCGGTTTGCAGGTCGATGGTATTGGTTAAAGCAGGAGGGTTTGCATACCTGACCCTTCAAGGCTTTGATACGCTGCTGCCCCCCCGGCCCCGGACTGTCATGACTGTTCTTCTGTGACATCTTCAACAGCGAGGTTAGTATCCCTCCTATGTTTGTCACAAACAGACCAGTCGCTACCAGATGTTCATCGTACGTACTGTCAGCAAGGACTACTTGAAGAAAGATAGTCACAGATAATTCCTTCTTGTTGTGATAAAAACCAATCTTTGATCAAAGCTCAAGTTTCTTTGCAGGTTCTATACCACAAGGGATGAAAATGAGGGTATTTAAGTCGTATTATAGATAAGTAGAAACATTTGCAGGGACATTAAGAATCTGTTCCTGAGATGAATTTACGCATTTCCCCGATCACCTTTACGTAGCAGTGAATCCGAATAGCGGCGGGATTAGGTATTTTCTGTTATGTGTAGGTATCATAATTGGCATTATCCTGTTAATCTCGACAACTAATGTAACCAAAGCAACTAACCAGTCTACGGCACATCACATCCGCCATATGCACATTGAAAGGATGAAAATATTGTATGGAAACTACGATTTATCTCTACATACAGGGCCATGTGATATACACATGCTACCTGGGAGATGCTTTGCACGGAGTTCTCTCACTTGGTGAAGGATATGTTCTTCAGATGAGGGGGTTACTCAATATCTTTGGTCTGGTCCGCTCTTCCCTTCCCTTCCCTCACCTCACCATTGCTGCAACGAAACACTGAAACGTAGGCAAACACCAGTGAAGATGCTGTCTATTTTAAGAAAAGCTCGGTTGAAAGACAAGGAGATGCGGATTCTAATGCTGTAAGTCGCAATTCTTGATATACTTCGTCGGCTAGTACACTGACACTTGCGACAGAGGTCTGGATAATGCCGGGAAAACCACCATCGTCAAGCAGATTATGAAGGAAGATGTCACCACTGTCAGTCCGACTTTGGGATTTATCATCAAGACTATAGACTTTCAGGGGTACTTTCCTATCCCAAATGTTTTTTTCCTCCAAGGCAATTCACTAATGTTTCCGCAGATATAGACTCAATATCTGTAAGGATATCGACCGGTGATGTTGCCCAGTCTCCACTAACCGAGTGCCGTCAGGGGATGTCGGAGGCCAGAAAACGCTCCGATCGTATTGGAAAAACTACTTCGAGAAGACCGATACATTGGTCTGGGTCGTTGATGCGACCGACCGTCTTAGAGTGGATGATTGTCGAGCTGAGCTCGCTGGCCTCCTTTTGGAAGAGGTTCGTTGCTTATCTCCCCGCGCAGCTGCGCGCCCGCCTAGAAAAGTTCTGTCGGGTAAGGACTCACCATCACGCAGCGTTTGATGGGAGCAAGTCTCCTTATTTTCTTGAATAAAACCGATGTTGAAGGATGTATGGATGAGACTGAAGTCCGGGAAGTAAGTTAATGCTCTATTTGTTGCGAAATTCGGCGCTCGAGTTGGCTCTGGCTCTTCTAACGGATACTGATGCTCGTGCCTACAGCGGCTTTGCTTGGATTCTATCCTAACCCACAAATGGACGATATTACCCTGCAGTGCGATGACAGGAAAGAACCTACAGGAAGGACTTGAATGGGTCGTGCAAGACGCCAAAGACAGGCTTTTCCTTTACTGACTGTCATGATGATCCATGGCATGCTCTGCGTTTGTAGGGATGATTGCACGATGCTTCAACCTTTGCCTTTCCCCTTTTCTTGTCATAGCGATAGACCTCTAGTTGTCGCTAAGCTATATGCTATATGGTATGTGGTTATGACATGCGGAAATACGAATACGGGCAATGGTGAACCTTCAGCTGCGCCAGTTGTGATTATATATTTAGTACTACTACTAGAGTTCAGTTTCCACGGAAAACTCGCGTCCGTGGCTGGGCCTGTCTGTTGGCAATTGAGACAACCCTAGGATAATGCCCAACAGTACCTCGAAGTCTTCGTAGTTTTAATGAGCATATGGGATGGCTTGCAGGGCCATAGAAATGTCCTGAAACGCTGCTTGCGCCCATCCCAACAGCCTTCCAGCAGTAGCAAGTCACAGCCCCTGTCCTGATTAGCGGCTGGTCGGGTTTCGGAATGGCGATCAGACAATCAATCCGCCTTCAGGGTCCACGAACACTACGATGGCCCTTGTCGAACATGGTAAAGGCAAGTTTGCTTGGGATCGGTGGTTTTCCCACTAGGGAGCGCCTCGTCTGTGATTTACGTCAACCACGAGGGTTCAGCAAGGAATGCCGTCGGAGTGTCTCACGATACGACCGAGCGGGTGGAAGGGAATGTCGTCAGGCCTGAAACGGTGAATGGAGCTCCGGTCATCTGCCTCCAAGGCAACATTTATCCGTGGATTCCACCAGGCGACCAGACCAAGCTTTGTGTGCCGAGTTAGACTCAACCGAGGTCTCCAAAAGTCCAAGGAGAGGGAATGCTGCCCGAGGGGAGTCAGTCACAAACTCACAGCGGCCAGCCTGAAATAATCAAGAACGATTGCGTATCCGATCGCGGGGCGGCAGAGAGTTGAGATTTGCTCCACTGCAAGAGCCGGGTCCGGGAAAGTAAACAGTTCTCCGTGTAGAGCAACTTCCAAACACGCCCATCTTGATGATGATGGCTGATGCCTGATGCCTGCTTGGTTCCGAGATCCCCTCTTACTTTCCGGACGCGCGCAGATCAACTGTCTTCTTTGTGACATCTCCTATCGCGGTGCCGGGGGAGGGGGGCAAACAGCTCATAGCCGCAGTGCAAGAAGATGCGCAGTGTCAATAATCCGGTCGGGCGCCTCATCCTAATTTCCTCTGGGCTTCCGACAGTGGGGCGGCAGCTGATGAGCGTGCCTTTCGCTGGGTCTAATTTAACGATGAGGACCATTACTATTCTTGCCTTCACGGCGCTCAGCTGCCCGTCAATACGGGTCCACCACTAGGAGGAAAAAGACGCTGCCCAGGTGAACGGCGGAGACTCCTACCAGCAACAACGACAACAACAACATGAGTTGGAGGGACACGCCGGTTCTGATTCCTGAGGCTTAGATCCCACACGAATTGCTGGCAAGAGCGAGAGAGAGTTTCCCTCATCTCTACCACCACCACCTTCAACGCCACCATCACCGCTACTAATTATTCCTAATCACTACACCACCACCTGTTCACGAACCTCTCTCCATCCCCCCCCCCCTCTCTCTCTTGCCACACACACCCCACCGTTCCTGGGGGTCCTTGTCGGTGTTTGTTCCGTTTGAAACAGCATCGTTTCTTTCTTGATTCCTCATTTCTCATCGTTTCGCTCTTTTTTTTCTTCCCTCACCCCATTTTTGGGCTCATTGATCAAGTGTCAAGGTGGCCATGACTTTCACAACCGACACGGATGGCACAGAGGATGTCAACGACTTCCTACTGCGCATCCGGGAGCTAGGGGAGAAGCGCGACAAAGAAGACGAGGAACGCACAAAAAAGTTGGAGGAGGAAATTTTGCAGGGTCGGAAGGAAAGGCAGGCTCGACGAGCTGGTATTTGACTTCCCTTGCTTTTTCCCGCCCCTTTTAAAATCAACTGCCCGTCGTCATGACTCACGCACGGCTGGAACCCCTTCCAAGACTGTCATTGTCAGGAATGCTGACTGTGTCCGGTTCTTGGACCCATTGCAGAGCGGGCACGGTCGATTTCCCCCACGAAAGATTCACCCATACTAGATTCCGCTCGGTTGAGCATGTCGTCTTTTAGCCTGCGATCGATTGACCCTCCGGAACACCTCGAACCTACCACTCACACCCCGGTGCATGACACCAGCAGCAGGCCTGATTCGATCCGGGATGACGCATCGATAACCACGGATGGTGGCCGGAGAGGGTCTACCTTGACAGCCAACGATGGAGAGACGGGTACCAGACCTTTCTCACCTTTACGGAGCAGAGCCGGCACTCTCTCCTGGCAGCAGAGGCCTGCATCCCGAGATAGTAACCGGGCTTTCTTCTCCACATCTCCCTCCCGCGAGGGCCGCTTTAGAGGCATGTCCATAACCTCCAATGACGAACACGGTGCGTCTAGAAGTCCATTCGCGTCTTCGCCTTCGTTCAAGGACGTGCCTTGGTCTCGCCACGCAGAGGGAGGGTCCGCTTCTCCTACCCGCACAAAGCAATTAGAAGGAGACGACTCACAGCATCCCCTGCATTCTGACACCCACATCAAGGAATCAGAAACCGACTTGGAAAACACTACAGAGCCGGCGAAGGAAACAGAACACCAGGAGATCGTAGAAGAGCGATCGCGCTCCCCGTCACGAGCAAGTTCGACGTTTGCAGATAGCAGTTTAGGCCACCGTTATTCAAGCATATCCTCTGTGTCGACAGCCACTGGCCTTGGCTCTCCTTTGCCTTTGACGAGTGCACAGAAACTCGAGCCCCGAAAGGCTGAGGAGGAGGACGAGGACCACCTAACGTCTCCCCCTTCCCCTAGGCGTCTATCTCCAGAGCGTTCTACGTCTCCCACCAAAGGACTCGGTGGATTTGTTCAAAGCGCCATGATGAAACGATCGGACAGTGTGTCCAAAAGGTGGAGCGCTCAACTGCCGTCGGGACTTAGTCGAGGCAATTCTTTTGCTAGCAACCGCAACAGCTATGCTGCTCCTTCCGGTGGTGACGTATTCTCCACTGCACCTTCATACAGGCTGAGCAGAGATAGCTCGAGTCTCTCACCTTCGCGGCCCACCTCCAGTCCTAGACCCGGCTCTAGCCATAGACCGGATTCTAGTCACCGGCCTAGCTCTAGCCATAGTGAGGCGACTGTTGTTCATCCTAAAGACAGCGAACGGCCGGCTACACCTCCCGTTCCCGGCAGTAACACCACGCTATCAGATGAAGGAGCCCGCAGACCGTCTCTCAGCCTCCATACACGGTCTACCAGTACAGTTGAAAGAAGTGCGGATTCCGGCTCTTTGCCTCCGACGAGCCCATTGGTTTCGAGAACCATGGACCCTAAGAGATGGAGCCCGACCAAAGCCACCTGGTTAGAAAGTGCATTAAACCGGGATGAATCACCGAGGCATAAACGGCAGCCCTCCCAACAGACTCCCTGGGCCAAAGATCGGCAATCAAAAGGCAGCGTCGACTTGGGTCGGACTGCGAGCTTCAAGGAGGTCACACCCGTGGGACTCATGCGAACTACCGGCCCTGGCACTCACTCCAAGACTTCCAGTATTACTGGCATCCCGGACTTGTTCTCCAACCAAGACGCAGGAAAGGCGAAGGAGGGAGAACTCGAAACCATTCAACAAACAGTCAATCCCAAGGACAGTGACTCACCGCCTGCCGAGAAGATAGCGGAGGCTGTTGCTTCGAGAGAAAGTTCTCCCACTAAAACCGAGGCAGAACCGGAAAATAAAGAAGATGATGTTGCTAAGGACAAGCGTATCCCATCTACTTTGAACCCGATCACCAAGACTACCATCGATGCGCCCCTGCCATCCCCTCGCGATCCGCTGTTGAACAGGCCCAAGCCCCTTTCTCCCGTGATAGATTTCCGAGCCAACCTTCGACGACGAGAAGTGGTCAAGGATGAGTCTCCCAAGGCGGAACCGGAGTTCAAAAACATCTTTGGAAGGCTGAAGAAAGCAGAGTCATCGAGTTATGTGCCGCCAGACCAGCTGAGAGACAACATTCTGAAGGGCAAGGCCTCTCTCAATTCATCAAGCGGCCCAAAGAAATCGCAGAAGGTGGACGAATTGAAAGATAGCATTTTAAAGCAGAAAGAAGCAATCAAAGCCGGTGGGGGCTCGTTGAGGCGCAATACTGCTGGAGAGAATGATGCCCCCATGAAGTTCATCCCAGAAGCGATTGCAATGCGGAATAATTTGACAAAGTCCAGCAGTATCAAAAGCAATCTTTCAGCCGCTGATACATCGTCGCCACTCTCGCCGCTCTCGCCTAAAGAGCCGGATACACCAAAAACCGCAAATAGTCCGCAGCTTTCTTCGCCGCTGTTTTCTGCCGGCGAGCGTATCGAGGAACCTCCGAATTCGCCAGTCGTCCCAGAACCACAAAAGCCCGACGTCGATGAGAAACAGACAGAGATCGCGGAATCGGAGTTGCCAAAAGTTGTGAGAGAAGACGAGCAGAAGAATACGGATGAGGGAAACGTGAACACTGAGGAAGAGCCGAATGGGGAGGGCATCAATCCGGTGCGTTCTCTGTCACCGGGGGATACCATGCAGGCTACAAGTGCGCCTGTCGTGACTGAGAGTCCTGCTGCTAAAAGTAAACTCGCAGGCCGATTAAATCCTGCCTTAGCGGGCCTTCTCTCCCGTGGCCCGCCCGCTCCGATGGACGGGTCGATGAAAGCTCCTTCTACGAACGGTGCCGAAGGAAGTAGTTTGGAGGTGGAGGAATCGCAGGCTGCCGCACTCACTCATCTGACGAAAGGCCGAGCGAGAGGACCAAAGAGACGTCTCCCTCAGGGTACTACACCGGAAGGTACGAACTCACTCTTCGATGAAAGCAATTTTGTACCAGAGTCTCCGCCAACACCTTTCGATGCACAGAGACCAGAATCAATGTACTCGGAATCAGAGGAGGAAAATGATGCTGCAGGGCTCTCAGCACCTCTGGATGCAGAGAAACCCGTGACCATGGAAGCGCACCGAGAGGAGGAGAATGCTCTAGAGGCGACCGCACCTGTCGATGAGGAGAACCCAGAAATTGCTATCCAAGTTTTGAGTCAAGTTACGAGTCCAGTCTGCGAGGAGGACCCTGGCGCACCAGAGCTGTCAACACCTATGGATAAGGAGGAATCTGAACTTGAACCTGCTAGCCCAGTACGAAAAGATATTTATACCCCAGAGCCATTAGCTCTTGTGGATGAAGAGAAACCTGAAGCTAGGAGTCCAGCTCTAGAGGAGAATATCGACATCTTAGAGCCATCAGTATATGTGGAAGAGGAGAAACACGACAATACAAGCCCACTCTACGAGGAGAATACTGGTGCGCCGGAGCCGTTAGCACCTATGTACAAGGACGAGGAGGAATCGGAACCTGCGAGTTCAGTCCACGAGGAGATTTCCGATTTCCCAAAGCCATTATCACTGATGCATAAGAAGGAATCTGAAGTTACGAGCCTAGTTCAGGAGAATGCCGACACCCTAGAGCCGTCGATATATGCGCATGAGGAATTCGAAGCTTCGAGCCCAGTCCGTGAGCATAATGTCGACATCCTAAGGCCGTCAATATATGCGGATGAGGATAGATTCGAAGCTTCGAGCCCGGTTCGTGAGGAGATTGATGAACTAGAGCTATCAGTACCTATGTATGAGGAACTCGATCTTGCGAGCCCAGACCTGGAGGGCACTGTCGATGCCTCGGAACCTTCAAAATTAATGGATAAGGAAAAGCATGAAGTTATCAGCTCAATGCCAGAGATGAAGGACACGGCCATGAGGTCACCATCGATTTTTTCGGATGCAGAGAGACCAGAATCCTCGGGTCATGCCCTAGAAGACAGGGATAATGCTCCAGTGTCAGCTCTAGATGCAAAGGAGGCCGAAGCCACAAGCTCAACCATTGAGGCGCAGACCCCGGAGGTAGAGTTCCCTGAGCTGTATGAATCGCCCATAAAATCTCCATCAATGTCAGATAAACAGGGGCCAGAGTCTATGTGTTCCGCCTCTAAAGAGGAAAGTCGTGTTCCTGAGCCTCCAGTGCTTGAAGCAGAGGATACTGAAGCCACAGGCCTAACTCCTAAACTGCGGGCCCCCGAGATCATGGAAACGGTCCCGAAGGCCCATTCGATTTCCTCTGATACACGGAGACCAGAGTCCCTGTACTCTGTTTCAGAAGATAGCGATTCCTCTGTGTCTCCGGTGCTGGAGGCAATGCATGTCGAAGACCAACATCCGATTTCTGAAGTGCAGATGCCGGAGGTGAAGGTCCCTGAGGTGTATGAAACGGCATCGAAGGCCCCATCAATCTCTTCTGATACACAGAGACCCGAGTCCCTCTACTCTACTTCAGAAGATAGTGATGTCCCAGTGTCTCCAGTGCTGGAGGCGGTGCACGTTGAAGCCAAAAGTCAAATTACTGAATCGCAGACGCCAGAGATAAAGATTGCCGAGCTCAGTAAAACGGCCCCAAAGTCACCATCAAGCCTTTCAGATACACCCAGACCAGAGTCCCTGTATACCTCTTCAGAAGAGAGCGATGCATCAGAGTCTCCAATGCTCGAGGCTGAGGAGGTTGGGGTCACAAGCCCAATCTCTGAAGTGCAGGTTTCTGAAGTAAATAATAAGACCGCACCGAGGCCCCTCTCAATCTCCTCGGATACACGGAGGCCAGAGTCCATTTACTCCGAGTCAGAGAGGTATGTTCCAGAGTCTCCAGTGCTAGGAACAGGACCTATTGAAGTTACGAGCTCCATTCCTGAGGTGAAGATCACTGAGATGAATGATAAGGCCCCAGAGTCCACACCATTCCTTGCAGATGTGCCAGAACCTACACACTCAGACCTGGACAAAGATCATGCCGTCGAGCCTCCAGCGCTGGATACAGAGGAAAGTCAACCCACAAGCTCATCCCCGGAAGTGATGACGCCCGAAATGAATGGTGCAGTTCCAGAGTCCTTATCGTTTGCTGCGGATGCACAGGAGCCATCATCCGCACATTTAGTTACGGAAGAGAACATTGATAAGACGATGGATTCTTCAGCAGCGGAGGCAGAGATAGTCGAGTCTACACGCTCAATTCCTGAGGGGACCATTGCAGAGGCGAATCATACAACCCCACGGTCCTCATTGATTTCCCCGGATGCACAGGGGCTAGCACCCACACATTCGGTTACTGAGAACATCAATAAGACAGTGGATCCTTCGGCACTGGAGGCAGAGGTAGTCGAGCCTACACACTCAATTCCTGAGATGACTACCCCCGCGATGACTCATACAACCTCGGAGTCTTCATCGGTCTTCTCAAATGCACAGAGGCCGGCTTCGACACACTCAGTTCTGGATGCGAATACTAATGATACTGTGGAATCACCATCACCGGATGCGGAGGAGCCCAAAGCTTTGTGCTCGACTTCGGATGTAAATGAGGCAGCTCTGAAGTCCCCAGCTTTTTCTTTAAATACACGGAGTTCAGCATCGACGCACTCGATTCCAAATGAGAGTGATACTGAAGTTGAGACACCCAAGGCCTTATTCTCAACCTCAGGAGTCAACGAGGCAGCTCCGAAGTCCCCGGCATCGACACACTCGGTTCCAAACGAGAAGAATGATGATGCCGAGGAGCCTAAAGCTCTGTTCTCAGCCTCAGAATCGAACGAGGTAGCTCCAAAGTCCCCGGCATCCTCTTTGGGGGCACGGGGGCCAGGAGCAATCGTTTCACCTATCGGCAGTCCTGTAGGTGTTTCCAGTGGCTGGCCACTTCCTGACACTCAGATCAAGCCAAATGTTGAACCGCAATCAAGCCCGAGCCAGCATGATTCACCTGTGGCCAGCAAGCCGACAGAGTTCAAGAGGAGCATGCATCGCTTAATCGAGAGAGAGACTGTGCAGAAGCCTGATGATGTGAGCTCCAACCCCCCAACAGCATCGGTTCAGGCTGCTTCCCACCGTTCCTCCCCCAGTTGGGAGAACGCCAGCGCATATTTCAAGAGCCTAAGAAGCTCATTCTCGACCAAACCCCCTTTGCCGCCAAAGATGGCACCACTGCCATCAACCCCAATGTCTAACCAGACCCGGAGCTCACCAATCCATTTCTCATCACCTTCTCCGTCGCCTCTGAGGGGTAGCTTCAGGGAGAATCCGAGCCATGCACCTCCAACGCAGCAGCGAACTGCCTCTTCATTTTTTTCCACCATTGGGTCACGAAGTTCGTCGCCCCGAGACAAAGCCTTGCCTTCTCCCCCTGTTCCTCCCAAGGGGTCTAGGGCTTCTGTCGACCGGTTTTCTGTCGACCGGTTTTCTTCGAAGTCCTCAAAGTCGCTTGTTCCTCAGGCTGATGAGTCATGGGTGGCCATTTCTGGTTTCTTCAAAACCTTCCCGAAATCGAGCGACCGTGTAAACATCGACACTCAGTTGATGTTAGCAGACAGGAGCGATAACACAAAAATCAGGACCCTCAAGAGACAGCTGTGGGAGATTACGGGCGATGGAAAGAAACAAGATCTGCCTGTTAATCAGGAATATATCCTGTATGAAGGAAGCATGTACCTGTGCGTGCATCTGTTCGAAGCCGATGGCACTGTACGCTCTGAAGTGCACCTCTGGTGCGGTGATGACGTCCCTGATGCAGCGGTGGATGATGCCCAGTCCTTCTCTCGCAGGGTCGCCAAGGATAACGGATCCAAGCTGGGGATCATCAAACAAGGCAAGGAACCTGCTCGTTTCATCCAAGCCCTGGGAGGAATCCTCATCACTCGCCGCGGCTCGAGCTCCCGCTCCAGTTCCTCCGCCATCTTCATGCTCTGCGGGCGCAAGCATCTCGGCCAGATGGTGTTCGATGAAGTCAACTTCTCGCCCAGCAGCTTGTGCTCCGGGTACCCCTTCGTGATCTCCGCCGTGTTCGGCAAACTCTTCCTCTGGAAGGGCAAGGGCAGCTCGGCCGAAGAGATCGGCGCGGCTCGCCTGATCGGCATGGACCTTGGTCTAACCGGCGAATTCGAGGAAGTGGCCGAGGGCGAGGAACCAGAGAGCTTCTTTGAGGACTTCCCCCAGTACGAGCGGAAGACAAGCGACGCCAGCACCAACTACTGGCCCCTGAAACCCAACCATGGGCGTTATCGCTCGCGGCTTTTCCGCATCGACCACGGGCTCGGTCAGCGTTCAGGGTTCTGGATGCGCTCACCTTCACCAGTCATCCGGCCAAATGACACCGTCCAAGAAGTCGAGCCCTTCTGCCAGAAAGACATTACCCCCAAGGGCATCTACGTCCTTGACACATTCTTCGAAATCTACGTGTACGTACCGCCTCCATTCTTGCCCCCAAAACTCGACGCCGCAGCAGTATAGACTAACCATCTCCTCCTAGAATCGTGGGCGAGCAAGCATCCAACCGTCCCGCCGAGTTCGCAACTGCGGTGGTCCTAGCGCACGAATATGGCATTCTAGCTGCATCGCTCCAAGATCGACCTTTTATCCCGAAGAGTTTCGTCTCCATCGGCGGAATTCCCGAGTCCTGCAGCAGTGCGTTCCGGAAATGGAGCCCGCACTCTCCCTCTCAACGCCCGCCACAGGTGTTCCCCCTCAACGCCGCTATTGAGGCCATTCGGTCCTCGTAGTTCGCTTTCGCTTTCTTTCTTTCGTTGTTCTCTGATCTTTCTTCCTCGTCGTGAGGTTTCCTCGTTTGGTTTCTAGCTGTGCATAGCGTTTTCGCGGTTTAGATTGTGCATATACTGGCTTGACCTGGGTGATTTGTACAAAATGGAGGGGCATGCTCTGGGAGGATGCGAATGTGGCAATCCTTTTGTGCATGGGTGTGGATGAGAGTTGGGAGTTGGGCTGTTCTTATTCATTTCGATGGAGATATTGGGGATCTTGTGTATGATAGTTCATTTTATAGACCACTCTGATCGGCAACTCTTGCATTGCATTCATCCATCCTAAGAGGGAAGGAGGGGAGAGTGATGAGATCACGGCCGAGACAGCCCCGATCCGTAAGGTGCCGACCCACCCCGGGAAGGAACGGTCGCCATCCGCCGCCGGGCTTCCATCATCCAGTTCCGCCTTTTTTTCGACATGGTTTAAGGCGGTTCTGGCTTCTTTCAGTCCTGCTCGGTTCATTCGCCGCGGCAAATCACTGGCCTTTCCTGACCCCAGACCTCTTTTCTGGTTCAGTATGCCGTGATTGAGCGCATGCGACCATTCCCTCTCACCTATCGCTCTAGATACGGAAATCTGCTCTCTGCTGCGGATCAGACCTGTCATATCGTGCCGTGCAGATATCGTGCAGGACCACCATGGACCCCGCCGTGCTTCGCGAGCTCGTCCGAGTCGACCCCACGGTCCCTTTCCGCGCGACCACCGATCACCTTCATCACACCTGGGCGCAGACCTTTTACTCGCGGCCGGAATTATACGTGCGCCCTCAGTCCCTCGAGGAAATTCGGAAACTGGTGAATTTGGCTCGTCATTGTCGTCGTCGCCTGGTCACTGTCGGCAGCGGCCATTCCCCCTCCGACCTCACCTGCACGTCTTCCTGGCTCGTGAACCTGGATGATTTCAACCGGGTGTTGGAGGTTTTGCCTGAAAAGGGTATCGTGACGGTCGAGGCCGGTATCCGATTGAGAGACCTGGGTGCCCAGCTGGAAAAGCATGGCTTGACGTTGTCCAACTTAGGTAGTATCGACAGTCAGTCTGTTGCGGGTGTGATCTCGACGGGCACCCATGGAAGCTCGCTCCAGCATGGCCTGATTTCCGAGTGCATCTTATCGCTAACTCTCATGCTGGCTAACGGACAGCTGGTGTGGTGTAGTGCGACTAATAATCCTTCCCTCTTTCGCGCAGCGCTTATCTCTCTTGGAGCGCTTGGTATCATCGTCGAGATCACTTTGCAAGCGGAGCCCACGTTCAAGGTTGCCTGGCGACAGACACGACGCAAGCTGTCCAGCGTCTTGTCCGAGTGGTCGTCCGGATTGTGGACATCGCATGAATATGTTCGGGTGTGGTGGATGCCCTATGAGAAGAGTGCGGTCGTTTGGCATGCCGACAAAACCGACCTCCCTCTGCGTGCTCCGCCAAAGACCTTCTATGGAGAAACAGTCGGATACCATATCTACCATAATCTGCTGGCCCTAGCCAATTATTTCCCTCGGATCCTGCCGTGGGTGGAATGGCTTGTTTTTGGTTTGCAGTATGGCTTCAAGGAGGGCTCGATAGTGACGGAAGCTATCGAACCGGCCCGTTCTGGTCTTCTAATGAACTGTCTCTACTCGCAATTTGTCAATGAGTGGGCACTGCCACTGGAGAAGGGCCCGGAGGCGATCAGTCGACTCTCCGCCTGGCTAAATGGTGATCCTGAAACAGCGCGTATTCCATTCCCCGTTGATGGCTTGTGGGTGCATTGTCCCATCGAGGTCAGAGTCGCAGACTCTACATACAACCAGGCACCTCGTCCATTCCTAGACCCCACATCTTCCGATGGACCGACCTTGTATCTTAATGCGACCCTCTATCGCCCATACCATCGGGACCCCCCCTGCACGGACCGGTATTACGAGGCTTTTGAGTGGCTTATGCGAGAAATGAGCGCAAGACCGCATTGGGCTAAGAATTTCCAGACGACAAGAGACGAGCTGAAAGATCTGTATGGTGAGGACATGGCCGAATGGCTAAAGGTGCGCCAGGATGTGGACCCTGACGGCATGTTCCTGGGTGAATGGCACTACCGGAATCTGGCCTTGCCTGGTAACGAGGATGAATCGACCTCTACCGGACCGGCCGCCCTCCCGCTTCTTGAGCGTGAAAAGGCTCGTCGGAAGGCAGACGTCCGCGGATCTGGTGACGGCATGGAGTGGATCGGGGACAAACGATGGGAAATGAAGGAAGCCCGTCAGGCTGCGTTCGTGCCCGCGCTAGAGAAAGAGAAATTCCATGGCTTGCCGGACGGAACAAGTCTGAGTCCTCCCACAACAGCAACGAGCGACGAGAGCTTTGATTTTCTTGCGGCGGGAGAGGCCAGCATTGTCCTTCCTGATCACCGCGCGTGAGTGAAAGGATCACGACAAGAGGCTTGGGAATAGCAAACAAAACGGAGCGCGTTTTCCAATGTGACAATGTGCGGGTGGTCGGCTGGGATGGCCAGATCCGGGATTCCTGTTGGCTGACGATCATCCAAGTGACCGTGTACTTTATTGCCTCACTGTTTCTTTTCCTTTTTCTTTTTCTTATTATTTTTTTATTTCTCCCGTCCTCTGTCTTACTGTACAGAAAGCAAATCATCGATTTCAATGCCCATTCCTGACTCATCAATGTGATCCTTGGATTTTCATGAGAACTTTTCGTGATTGGCCGCGTCTGTTTGCTTATTCCGGTTTTCAGCTGGCTTCTGACGAGTAGCGATTGACCCAAGATCACTCCGGTTTTCGCCCATCTGCTCATTGGCCGCAGGCCTCGGAGTATTGGCACTCCGTATCGAACACCGGTCGATGTCCGAGAGCATCCTGTTCCCCAGGGAGATACGTGCCATACACGGGAAGGAGGAAGGATGCACATCCTCGGTTCTAGTTCTCGATTTGTCAGGTGCTTTTGGGAAGCGCATTACCAGCTCTTCCAGGCAAAGGCGTCCGTTCGTCCCTTGTCTGTAAGTAATCCGGTCGGGGTACTACATAGACGGTATTGCCACGGAGTCCAGGCGGGCCAAAAGCAGGCCTTCGTGGCAGCCACGAGTGGGAGAGGACGTATGCGCATACCCCAGAGTCACGTATACGTATGTACAATTACCCGGTGAGTAGGCTGACAGTTCAGCATCTGCGCGAAGTTCGTCGGGGGCGAGAAGTTGCCTGTCCCGAACCGCCGCGTCCCAGCATCAGCACTGCCGCTTCAGACCAACCAAGAATGCCGGGCCTCACTTACTCTGTGCCATATGGGATACTCGATCCCTGCTGCCCATCCGGGTCCAAAGAAGCGCAAAAGATGTGTCTCCTCATCGTCCATTGGCTTGGCTGTTCTCCCAGGGCAAAAAGTAAACCGATCATGCTAGTTTATGCCATGCAATGCAGGTAATACCAGGATGGCTGGGCTTGCGGCAGAGGTGGATGTATAGACTGATCGAAGAAGCTCTTACCGCTTGCTTGCTTGCTTGCTCTGTATCAGACTCTCTCTCTCTCTCGGCGAACGTGTTTGTTGGAGTGTCATCATGATGATGATGGTGGTGATTATGATGATCCTAATCATGAGACCATGGCATCTGTACACCCGAGAGGTTTGTTTGGAATAGCCTCAGCTATAGGACGTCGATTCCATGCTCATAATAAGGGAAGAGAAGAAAGGCCGACGAAGACAATCCGGAAGGAAGAGCGGACAAGTCGCACTGGCCGCTAATTGATTGGCTCCTCCCCTTCCCGGCCACAGAACCATCCAACATCATCATTATTTTTTTTACCCTTTCGCTTCACTTCTTGCTTTTCCAGTTCCCTTCCTCAAACCTCCCCTTCCCCGTTCCGTTTACAATCTTCGTCTTCCAATCCCATACCCGACTGCCTTCGGTCCATTTGTATGGCCTCTACCAAAATCCTTTCTGCCTAAACCACGACCGACCATGCCCAGGGCGATCGGCAGGATGCTCACCACGGGCATTAGCCTTCAGCAGGGGTGCGAGGAGAGCAGCATTCTCGATGCCCCGCGCCAGGCCTGCGCCACATCATCGCCAGCACGTTCCTGAGGATACACGGCAATTAGATGTATAGATTTTTTTGACGGAAGTTTAATTCACAGGATGTTCAAGGTTAAGCAGGCGGGGAGAAACCCCCCCAAAACCATCCAGAACCAAGTTCTACCCCTCCGCTCTGGCAAAGGCCCTGCAGGTGGACGGACCTTTCCCTGCAACTTGCCTGTGCGGTTGACTTGCGTCCCACGCAGGATCCTCGGACCCCTCAATCAAAGCGGGCGAGAGAGGGGAAGCCTTCCCGGCCGGCCCTGCTCTTAGTTTCACGGCTAAGACTGGAGCGTGTTATCCGAACTCTGGTGGCCCCGTTGGCCTGCTATGGCACCAACTGCCTGGGCTCCTCGAAGTGGAGGAAAATTTCTGGCGTGCCATCGGAACTAAATGTGATACTAGCATATTCTACAGATCCTACAACCGGACTGCAGGAAACCTACCAAAAAAGCCCCCATGCAAGATGTCCATGCCATGCTTTTTCTCCCTTCCGGCCACGCCTTCTACACAGGTCATTATGCACGGATACTTTCCCTGGCGGACTCGACTCGTGCAGAGATGCAATAAGCACACGCCGTGCAACCCCTCTGCACCTCGCCAGTTAACTGCAGCCTGCTGAGCTGACGCTTACTCAATGTTTATTGCACAATTGTCACCAACAATGCCATTGCGCATCCCTACGGTTGGCCTTGGCAGGGTATTCACCCATAGGTTGACATCTCAATCATCTATCAGGTGATTTTACTGTGTCCCTATCATCTCCAGCATGGCAGCAGCGCCACATCCAGAGCGTTAATGCTGAGATGACGGGGTGCGTTTAGCAATACATAGGCCCCCTGCCTTGTTTTAGACCGTCTACAATACTGCGCTTGCAAAGCCCCCGGCGACTGGCTCTCCCGGGAAATAAAAGCATTATGCGGCTTTTGTTGACTGGAGGGAGCCACCCGACTTTGCCGCGGTCATTTCTCTCGGGAATGGGACGTCTTTTGCTGGCTACTAAGCCTAGTTCAGCAAAACATGCCTGTGCAGGTGATTGCCTGGAAATCTGCGGGAGGGAAAAATAAAAGGAAATTGAATAAACGAAAAATTGAATAATCGAAAAATCAAAAATCGAAAGGTAAGTGACAGCCCATGCCATTGGGCCAACGTCGACTCATCACCTTGGCGTAACGCTGAGCCCAGCGCAAAGCACGCGCTCGTCGATTGCATGGCGGCATTCAAAGTATTATGGAGCCGGTCATCCGTGTGCCAATGGCAGCCGTCGCATCGCCCGATAGGCGCCTATGAGACAGAAGGTGGTATTGAACTTTCCTCACCGGTTCCAAGCTTCACCTGAATACTGCAGCTCCGGCTTCCTGTTCGATGGTCATGTCTCACCCAAAGAGTGCATGCGGAGGAGGGAGAAGCGTAAGAAGGATACGGAATCCGAAAAGCGAGAATTGTCGCAATTACGCGACGGGGCCCAGTACCTGACTGCCGACGATGCCCCTCAAGGGCCACCACTGGCATGGCGCCAAAGGTCGGCTTGAACACATTCCTCTTACCTTTCGCTGCCCAAATGACCAGGGTTGTGCCCGGTTAGTGCCGATGAGCGGTGCCATGGGCATTCTCTGGTTCTGACGGCTCGGACCGTCGACAGGCATGATTGCTGGCGTGTCTCGCGCCAGCAAATTGAGGAGGTCACCTGTATCGGCCGGCGTGATGGGCAGAAGGACAAGCTATCGCTCGAGATTTGCGGGGGCCCCTGGTGTACCTGCTAGGCTGCCACAGCCACAACGGCCTGAAGGACGTCGAGCGACCGTGCCGGTTGATATCGTGACAGGCCGCTTTCCACGTCACCATCGCATTCTCAGGCGATATACGTCGGAGTGGGGTAGCAGCGCCGAATGTATGTGCGGGGCACTCGAGATGCAGGCCTTTTCCCGATGGGAAAATAAAAATGATATCAACATGTCCTCAGGCGTGGGCTCTCAGCCTCTTTGCCCCTTAGCAAAATCTCGCACCCCACCTGCTTGTTCCTCCTGAGCAATCTGACATCTACCCCTCCCCCTCCTTTCTCGCGACCTGCGATCGATTAGTCAGGTCCCATATCATATCAGGCCCCCTCCGTCTGTTCTTCTCCCCCGGTGTGCGCCATTGCCTTTTCATTTCTGTTGTTATTCTGACTGCGCCTGGATTTCCTGCAACATGTCGCGCCAGCCAAAACTGCGACCTAAGTCACATATCCCAGGCTTCCCAGACGCCATCTACAATCTTGCTGCAGTCTCATCCTTATCGCAGCTTGAGTCTCGCGCAGGCCTTGGGGAGGAGAAGCATGACCAGCGCGTCTTTCGTGTCAAGCGCAAGCATGTGCTGAAGGCATGCGATCGTTGCAGAGTCAAGAAGACCAAGGTTGGTGAAGTGCTGGGTTCTTCTATGTCGTCTTTTGCATCCATCTTGGCCTCAGTGCAGTCTTCGATGGCCAGCCATACTCATTCATGTTAGTGTGATGGGAAACAGCCATGCAACCGTTGTTCGGCCTACAATCATCCGTGTCTTTTCCGGGAAAGAAAAGCCACGCAGACCAAGGTGTACTCTCGAGGGTAAGGCTATGACTTCTACACCCGCTCTTTTGGTATATCCACGTCCTCGGACTATCGAGACTGACTGGCCGCCGCGCATTGGGACAGATTCGTCGAAATGCTGGAATCACACCATTCGCTGGTTGTGAAAGCACTCCAGAGGCTCTACAAATTATGTCTTGACAAAGAGGGGTTCCCTGGCGAGCCTCTGGTCGAGGTCTCGGATGGTCATCCTTTGACACATGCGATTTTGGATCGTCTAGGGCTGATCAAACAAGCCGAGGAGAACCCGGATGAGCCTGAGGAAGATTCGGAAGACCTTCGCTACCTGCGGTTTCTGTCCACCTCGACTGACTGCAGCGCTACAACGGATCCCTCGCCAGAACCGGCCACACCCCCGGATCCTTCCCCAAGTAACTGCAGTCCTATTACCCCTTCATCCAAGGGAAATGAGCCTTGGAAATGGGAGCTGCAGCCTGTTCAACCGCTTCACTCGGGACATTATGGCTACCCTCATCCTGGATACCATCCCATGGCGATGCCCCGACCGAGTTTGGAGCCAACTGGCCTTCCGGTTGAACCTAAAAGCCCAGATATCGTGCCTCCCATGGCCGACCATGGACATTCACTCTATTACTATATGGGTGCCAGCTGTGATGAAGGGCCCACCAAGAGCCGCCTGGAAGCTGAAGTGACAGCTAGGCCGGAATCCCAACAGCCTGCAACGGCATCTGGATTCCCTGTGGTCATGATGAGTGACTATAACTTACATGTACAAGAACATCAGTCCGTTTATCCGCCTCTTCCATCTGGCTGGGCGTATACGTGTGGATAGAGATGGTGTCATGCCATGGAGTCTCTATCCAGCGGCCCCGGTCCTTCTCTTATCTTTTCTACACATTCTTTTTTCGAGCAGGCATCCACTAGCCGTCCATCTCTCATTCCTTGTACGTACACATCATACAGGCTGACTGCCTCTCTTGTCCGCCTCTTGCTTCTGTTAGCCCTGTATCTTGTTGCGTACAGCATCGTGCATATCATAACCTTTGGGTGTTCCTGCGAGCTCTCAGCAATGTTTATCCTACATACCCGGCATGGCGTTTCATCGGTTGTTGGATGACCGCATCATCCAACCGAGACAGGATCCACTAACATGTACAAGCAAGGTCACAGGCGTTGAGGGGTTCCTTCATCGTCTTCGACTTACTCATTCATTAGACCTTGGCCTTAGTCTATAGGCCTTCAGTATCGAGTCTTATCTTGGGCTCGATCATATACACCGGCTTCTACTCGCAGCCTAACTTCTCTTCTGGTCCTATTTTCTTTTCTCAAGTGCCCCAGAATAAGAAATGATAAGCGAGCAGTTTACTATATTATACTACACTACCAAATTATTCATGCATCAATAGGGAAGAGCAGAAAAACAAAAAAAAAAGAGCCGAGATAAGAGGGCTCGGAGACACATGCATCAAGCCCCAACAAGACATGCATGACTCAACAAAGACTTAACTCCCTATCCCAATGCTTGACAATCTAACACAAGCAAAACCAACAAAAAATGAGTCAAAGGTCCAACAGCAACAAACAAACCCATCATGAGGGGTTTGCCTGTATCTGTAATGAAATGATGCAAATCAAAAGCAAGCAAGCAATCAAGCAAACATTCCAAGATCCCATGCAAGCCACACCCGCTACGCAACCGACCCACAAGTGAAGCGCTCATGCGGACCTGCGGTGTATCGCTCAATCAGAAAAAAATAATCAAAATAACCAAATAAAAAAAAATAAAAAAAGCAATGGTTGAATAGCGAAAATTAAACAGGAAATGCAACAACGCAAGCAGAGGTCAGACATGCTCTCCTCCATGCAAGAATCAGAACAAACAAGGTACAGAAAAAAAATTATGGAAAGTATGGTTTTGTTTTCTTTTGTTTTGTATGTATGTGAATGTGTATGTAGTAAGTAGTATATCATGCCAATTAAAATAATTTCCATGGACGTGTAAGAAGGAAGGTCTTTTTTCCTTCTTTGATCTCTTTGCTTCTTGACTCCGTACTCTCAAGCGTTTGATGACTGACTGGCTTAAGCTTAATCATCAATGTCGGTCTCCGTGTTAGTGTCGCTAGTGTCTCCTGCGTCTCCGTCGGTATCACTCTCGTCGTCGGTGGATTCCTCGGACGGCTTTCTGGTCTTCTTTTTAGGGGGCTGGCCGGTCTTCAGGGCCTGCATTTGACCGGCTATCGAGTCTGTAGGTGATTTTGTTAGCATTGAGTGGCTTGCTGGGTTGAAGTGGGTCAGTTTACCTTCGTCGGGTTCACTGATATCGTCTTCCTCGTCTAAAGCAGCTGCCTTGGCGGGGTCGTCAATGTGGAGAGTGACTTCCATCTTGGTGTCGAGACCCAGGTAGCTGTCACAGAGCAGGTTCAGGACGAAGGTGAAGTCTCCGACCTGGGGAGGAGCCTGGAACTGCATCTTGAGGGTCTGAACGTTGAAGGTGGGCTTGCCATCTGCGTCGAACAAAGGCTTGTCGAAAGTGGTAAAGGTGAAGGGTGGCACGGCCATCTTACCCTGCTTGGCGTCGGCCAGGAAGATGTGCCACCGGGGAGAGTGATCGCGAGCCAGGTAGGGGGCGTGGGCCAAGGGGGGCTGAATGGCCTCAACCTTCTCCTCGACCTTGACGCCGTTCACGAGCTTAGTGGTCCTATTCTTGGCAGGCTTACGGCCCATGATGGCGTCGAGGTCATCCTCATCCGGGTCAATGTCTTCCAGTTCGACTGGGTCGACTTGCGGAACGTTCGAGAAGCCAGGGGGGACAAAGCGGGCCTTGACGACCAGTTGGACCAGACTGCTAGGGGTGATAACCTTCTCGCCCATGACCTTGAAGAAGGCACGGGATACTTCGATAACGGGGAGTTGCTTGGCGACGGTAGTGGCTGCGGTGTACTGCTTCTCAGACAGGAGGCCTGCGCCGACTGTGAGGCTGCGACGCTTCTCCTCGGGGATGCTCATGAACTTCTGGACGGTGTAGTGCTCCTTGGCGTCAGCGCCCTGAACGGACTTAACAACCTCTTCGGTGAAGTGAGGCAGCTGCAAAAGAGGTGACGATCCCGGAGCAACAGCTTGGATAAGATGCTGCGATGTGCGGAAAGAGCCCAGAATTGGCCGGACGTTGCCGAAAGCAAGTGCAATGGCAGTAAAGGCTTCATTCAGCGACAAAGCGATGGGTGCAGCTTCGTACTTCTCTGTAGACACATGGATATTAGCAGGCTGTCTGTATACGTAGCAAGCATCACGTACCTCCGTTGAGCGTAGTGTCGTCCAGGTCAATGCGGCCGAGGTAAGCCCACAGCAATGCAAGGGCCTTGCGTCTGCTGGAATCATCCAGACTCTTGATAACATTTCTGTCTTCGGGCGAAAGGAAGGAGGAATCTTCAGCCAGAACCTTCTTCTCGAGTTTGGCCAGTCCAGCATCCGTCTTTGGTCCCTGCAGCATCTCCTTGAACTCAGCGCCAGTGGACAGGGCGTTGACGATGCCGCCATCCGTGATGTCCTCTCTGTACTCTCGGAAGATATCTCCGGCACTTGCGACAAGAACACGTTCCTTGGTGTAGCGCTGAGAGCCATACCACCATTTTCCGACGATGTAGGGCAGGAGCACGCCAAGCAGAGCACCATAGACCAGCAGAGTGTACTTGGAGTTTCCCTCCGAAACGACGAACGTGGGCAGAGCGATACCGATGCTCATGCTTTGTTTGCCATCGGGATGGCCATACTGGATGTAGTTGTTACGCACTTCCTCATCGGTGAGCGCCTTGTAGGCCTTGGTCAGCTCGACGAAACGGTCGTTAAGCATTTCAAGAGTCTCATTCTTGGCGGGGTCCGGGCGAATCTTGTCCGGATGGTAGACAAGTGAGAGGCGCTTGTAGTGCTTTGAGATGGCTCTCTCATCGGCGCTCTAAAAAAAAATCAAGCCTCGATTAGTAAACCCGTAGTGTCTGAACGCGTCCAAAACGCCAGGTGGACTGAGTGCTCACCCTTGAAACACCCAGAATGTCATACGGGTCCCAAACTTTGGGCGTAATCCTGGCAGTGACGATAATCAAGTATACCATCCATGCCATAACAGCGTACCCGACGATGACGGTGACTATGCGCTTGATTCGGCGCTCCTTGCGCAGGCGTTTGCGCTTCTGCGCCTCAATAAGCTCTGCATGTTCCGGCTTGAACTCGGATTTTATCCGGGGAGCGGTGTTTTCGAGACCTGCCAATGGGAGGACGCGTTAGTATGCAGTTGATACGGAGAAAACCTCCGCATAGAGGGTAAAAGGTTTGTACGAACCCTTGCTCGGTCGGAGAAGGTTATATGTGAGAGGGAGTGTGACAAGACTGGTGAGGGTCAGGACAAAGAACGGGAAAAATTGTCCCTGTAAGAAGATCAGTTACGGCAAGCCAAGAATGTTGGATCCGACCGAGCACCTACCTTGTCGTCATAATTGTAGTCAGTAGACATGGTGAAGCAAAATCACAATGGACACGGTCGCCCGCAACGGGCAGAACTGAACAAAGAGGGTCTCCTGGACACCAACTATGCTGCGTGGCAGAAATGTCCAGCAGATCAGAGGGAAAAATAGACGGTTCAGGTGGTAGATTTGAGGAGCATGATCCCTTCAGACGTAGCAAAAGAGTGTGGAAGGTGGAGGAGGGAGGAGAGGAGCACGACGGAGTATCTCGAGATGGGATTGGGATTATCGCATCGGCGCCGGTTGTACCTTGTGATCGACCGTGTCCTTTACGGGGCCGTAGGGGGACCTCACCGCCTGCCCTTCTGAGTCTGGTGGCTCTTGGGCCCAATTATTCAGGATTTCAGGGTCATGCGCTGACTTTTGGGTCGACCTTACTTTATGACTACTACTACTACTTTTATCACATCGATCAATCGTTGCTGTCACTATACTGACATCGTGAAATTTTGGTACATATTGTACAGCTCTCAGGTCTATCTACTAGCATTAAGGAACCCGTATTAACAGGCATACAAGCATTCACATCCAGGCTTCATTTCATCATAAAACTGGTATCCCTCTTTTTTGTTTGTCCCCCATAAATGGACAACAAATAACGCCAGCCCAAACTTTTGATTTTTCGTTTCCTCATAACTTCGAGCATCAGAGCCAGCTCTGGGTATTAGTTGAGAGAACGGAGTCCCCTACACGCTGTGCAGGCGGAAATGCGAAAAGAGCCCATGACAATGCGGGCGACTCACCCGCTCCGTGGGGAATTCAAGCGTCGTCAATGACCGGATGCTGGGTCGGACACGAACTCCACCCACCAAAGCGAACAAGGTCCTCGACAACGCAGAGCCTTTGATCTCAACGTCGCAAGCGTGCAGGTTTCCTCCATGCCAGAAATCACATGGCCAAGCCTTTCAAAAGACCAATCCAATCGCCTCTTTCTTCGTACAGAGAGAGGGATCTTCATTGCTGCAAGTCACGGACTTGGGTCCTCCATTGAAACTGGTTCTCTCGCCTTTTTTCGAGAGCTGGTAATCGTCTGGTTCGCTGATGTCGGGTTTTATCGTAGGGATGGGCCCGTTGGCGTTCGGCTGAGGTTGCGTGCCATCTGGGTATGCCTTCGGTCCCTTTTTCGATTTTTGAGATTTTTTCCACCGCCTGGACGACAATTATGAAAATTGCTGCAAAAAGGCAAATGATATCTGCAGGGAGAATCATCCAGGTAGTGCGTTCAAGGATTGTGGACTGAGATAGGTTGGTTAGAAGCGGTGTTTTGACTATGCTTCCAGGCAGGAGGAGCTCACCAATCGATGTAGTCGAGTCCACCGAAGTACTCCAACATGCGATAACAGAGACCGACATCGTCACCGGGTACGCCGCCAAATAGACGACACTGCTCTGCCTCTAGCGTAGAAGCCTCCATCCTCAGCGCACGGTCACGTTTCTGCCATATCAAATGCCCATAATGCCAGGTCAGGGCGGGTATTTCAGGACAGTCGAGTGCGGAGGGAACAGCTGAAGTGCAAAGGTCGACAGGTCGTGGGAACGGTGCGAACGGAATACTGTTGACACTGCGGTTTCGGGATCGGGGTCGTGTGCGACGTCTGTTGTGCCTCTGGCCCATTCTCCGTCCAGTCGGCGCAAGATGATACCTGTTTCTTTTGGTGGTTTGTAGGAGGTCGTCGTAATCAAAGCCGGTAGGTAGGTCAAGACAAACAATAAACCCGAGGGAATATTGTCCGTATAGCTTTTTATAGGACGGAAAGGAAAGGAGTGACCATCACCCCTGGGAAGGATGAGATGAGGTGAAAAGGGAATCAAAATAAAGGGATCAGGAGATGCATACGGGAGGGCGGGGAATATATATAGTAGTAGTCGAGGATGATGCGAATGGGTTGGAGCTGTGGTGTGACTCACTACATCCCAATAAGGTTACGGAGGCACAGAAAGCAGGACGAAAATCTTCACATCCGGCCCAGGGGATCCACCCAGCATCCCCTACTTCGGGAGTGCCAACTCCACTCTGATGCAGTCTAGAAGCAGAAATACCTAAGCCTGCTTGCCGATGGTGAAATTTGGTCTCATGGCGAACCTGAATTGCGTATGATTTTAGCTCGCACCAAATCGCCTACTAGTGGCCCTACGGAATACGGAGCACAGGGCCGACTCCGTAGTCTCACTTTAGGGTTCTCCTGAGTCACTTATGACCTAACTAATGCCCATTCTTAGTGAGAAAAACCTATTCTTGTCCATGCCTAAGGTTCCTTGCCTTATTGAACCCTGCTGGAGAACCAGTGAGAACCTTCCGTTGCCTTGTACGGAGTTACAATGAAAGAGAAAAGAAAAATTCTGATCTCAGCCCGGCTGCCTAACCCTTTCAAACGAACCAATTGAGTAATTCCCAGTCGTCACCAAGAAAGAAAAAAAAAAAAAAAGGGCCCCCATCATCCACGGTGCGACAAAACCCGGGATCAACGGAATTCGACATCAGGAGACGTTGAACAAAGGGTAAAAGCCACACAAAAAATCACCCAGAAATGGAGTGGTCTGACGCCATGCAAGAAGGTTCTCGGCCCCGAATCAGAGCAAACAAGGTCCTCGGTTACCGTACCAAACCAGCTCCGATGCCGCTTGGCCCCAGTGTGAGGTCATGTGATCTAGATCGGCACGCAATATTCTTAGTCAATTCTTTACCACCACGCACTTTCATCCCCTACCCACACTCAATTTACTATGTGTATTACCTAAGATTAACTAGCAAATCTCTTACTTCCACCACATTCTCAGTCCCGTTTCATCCAGAGCCGGGTGGCGAGCTGTGGATGCCGTACGGGCCGAGCGGGTATTATGACGCGGTTTGAAGGTCCCAAAATTACCTTGCATACCAGGCCCGGCAATCCAGTCAGGAGATGACAACATCCTACCACGGCTACTTCGGCAGCATCGCGACTACGGGAGGATTCGGGCATGCGTTGGGACATGTTGTCAATTCTGACAGGGATTCCGTTTGACGTTTCCTATTTACTCCGCATTTAACTTGTATAGTATCTATATAGCAGATACTTACTATAAGCAGGCAAAGACGTGGGATGCTCAAACCCTATTATTGCGGTTTGCTTTTTTCCCCCGCCCTTCCTCTCCTCATTCTCACCTTTCTTGGTAAGTAAGTAGTCAATCAATAAATCAGACAGGTACCAGGTAGGGTAACTTCCCATCTAAGTAGTTACAAAATCCAATCGAATAATAATCCCTCAAAAAGACCCGGAGACCATATCCCTCATATGTACAAACAGTACTACCTAATAGTACTAACAGGGTTTACCTTTAATCCCCACAAAACCCACGGGAACACAAAAACCCAAATATCTGCAGATCTCGGCGCAAAAAGAGGAAAGAGAGATCGAAAGTCAAAGTTTTTTTTTTTTTTATTGCTCACTTGACGTGGCTCTAATCCGACCTTGACACATGTCTTAGAGCTGCTGCCCGGACGAACTATCTACCTACCTACCTGCCTAAGTAGATAGTTGCTGATGTGTTTGGCATCTAGGTAGATACTCCGTACATGCATGCCTAACCAACTATCTAGTCGAGTGGGTTCGTTTCGTTTGCCTTCCAGTTCAATTCCCATTCATCCGTTTACTTAAACCACGTAGTTGAACGCTGGCCAAACCAAACCCAAACAATCCTCTCAAACCAAACAACCTCGAATATGCAGATTCAGATTGCAAGCTAGACTACCTACGTGGATTATCCCCCATCCCGTGTCGAGACTCGAGACTCTCTTCGGCGGTCCCGTTTCGAGATGCCTCCCCACAAATGGAGAAAGAAAGTGGACGATGAACGACTATAACCCCGGCCCCATCTTCCTCCTTCCCCTTTTCGCAATTCGGTTCTGGTTGGTGGATGTGTAACTGCCCTAGGGCTTAACGGTGGCCGGCGCCGCCCCCTTTTGTTGTTTGTTGACTTGTGGTGGCTTGCGAAGTGCAATGGATGGGGAATAAAGGTGGAGCTCCTCTGGAAAGATCGTGGGCCTTCTAGGTACTACCTAGGTAGGTAGGTACGCTGGATAATGGATTGCTGCAGGGCGGTTATTCGCGGTGTTGCTGATAATGGGGGTGGGGGATGATTTTTTTTTTTTTTTGTTTTTCATTTTTCTTTTTTGTCTGTCTGTCTGTTTGTTTGGGATGTTGTTTGGTGGTGTTCTGAATCGGGTGTACCTGAGATGGTGGGTGGGCTTGTTTCATGCGGTGCTTTGTTGTTTGGTGTTCTTTGGTTGGGATAATGGGCTTCGGAGGTAAAGGACTGGTTGATGGGTTTTGACTTCCTTGGTTGGGAGTGTGTAGGATTGCCCGGTTATTATTGAAAAGGATGACGGAGACAAAACACTACTGACTACTAGGGACCTCCTCTCTGATGGAATCGAGACTGCTGAGGGAATATGGAGTCCCATCTTGCAGCCAATCATGCCATTGTGCAACTCGGATAACACTACTACCAGCAACGCTCCACAGTCCACACACCATGCGAGGGTCTAGACTGGCTACATCATACATAATGAGACTGGCAGATTGCGGGAATTGTGAAACGAGCACTTGTCCACCGCCAAGGATTGAATCGTCGACATGACGGGTCGGCTAATTGTCGATCCCGTGCCGGATGATCTCCAGCATCTCCTGGCCCTTCGGCGCCGTTGTCAAATTCTCATACCCTGTCCTGGTGACTAGGATGTCGTCTTCAATGCGCACGCCACCGATGGGAATGTACTTTTCGGCTTCGTCGAAGTTGATGTACCGTGCTAGCGGCTGCTTGCGAGAATTTGCCAGAGCAAGCTGGGAGAAATAAATGCCGGGCTCGATGGTGACAACCATGCCCTCCTCAAGCAAGGGAACTGACAGGCTCATGGCCGGGATGAAGTCAGGTTTGCAAGGTCTGCCAGACCACCTCAGTCCCGTGATTGGCTTTTCGGACACGTCGTGGACTTCCAGTCCAACATGATGGCCCAACCCGTGGGGGAAGAAAATGGACGACGCCCCAGACACACGGATCTCCTCCAAGGTGCCCTTCTTGAGAACGCCTAGCTTCTGCAGGCCTCCAATGGCGATCTCGTGAGCAAGCACCTGCAAGTCGCGAAACCGCACACCTGGCTTGATGCGCCTAATACACTCCTCCTGCATCTCTTCTACAATGTGGTAGATGTCGCGGGCGTATGAACTAGGCCAATCGGCGGCCAGAGGGAACGTGCGGGTCACATCACTTGCGTAGCACTCCCACTCTGCACCTGCGTCCAGACAGACCAGCTGTCTTCCCTTGAGGGGCTCGTTGTTCTTCATATAGTGGAGGACGGCCGCATTGGGCCCAGACCCAGCAATAATTCCGTATGCTTGGTTCTTTGCTCCGTGCGACACGCAGGTGTCCAGGAAAAGGCCTTCGATCTGGGCTTCGTTGGACATCTTGTGGATCTTCTCGAGGACTTTTCGATGGGCCAGGCCTGAGATCTTGTTTGCGTGGCGTATCATACGAAGCTCATAGTCATCCTTAATCACTCGGGCCGCATCCATTGCGGGTAACAAAAGCTTATCATCTAGGTGAAGCTCGTTGGATAGGATTTCGGGCTGCTGGGAGCTATGGAGGATGTAGATTGGGGAGGCATCATTGTATTTTTTCGCCCATGACTCGACATCGCTCTGTAGGGAAGAATAGTAGCGCACTTTGTCTACGTCAAATCGGCGTTCAGCTTCGTCCGTGGTCAACGTGGGCCCCATCCATATTGTGCGGTGCAAGTCAAAGTCAGGAACATAAAGAATCAGCAAGTCGTTGGTGATGTCGTAGGTCAGAAAGCAATCCGGCTCGTCGACCCCACTAAGATAGTAGAAATAGCGTCTCTGTCGAAAGGGCTGTTCTTGGTCCGAATCGCCCCAATTGACGGTCGGTTTCCCAGCAAGATATATAAGGCCGCTGGAAACCCCCAGCTTCATCGCGGCTTTGCGCGCATGTTGTTTAGCTGCGCCGGACTCCCTGTTAGTCTCGGGGCGTCCCTGAAGGGCGCATAAATAGGGAGAGCAAAGGGGTGGGGAGGGTTCTGAATGGAACGGGTTCAGAATGGAACGGGTTCAGACACAGGACATACCTGGGTACTTATCGACGCCAGCGCCACGCACCGTCACCCGGATATCGCGGAGATCCAGGCCCGCGACAAGCTCTGGCTGGATTGAAACACGCATTCTGTTGCTCGCCAGGGATCTACAGGCAGAGTGGGGACTTAAGCGCCTATATAGACAGGACCGTGACCAAGGGAAAGACGTGAACGAAGGCACACGAAGGGGGTTGTGAAACAGGAAGAGATAAGCCGGCGCCTAGATAGAAGATAGAGAGGAGAGGGACAAGTGCAAATAATAATAATGACGGCCGGTTCCTCCGTCGTCCGTCCGGCGGCGTCAACACTCAACAGGGAAGGAAGGGACTAACTACTACCTACATAGTACTAGTACCTAGTCATACAGCCGCGGAACACCCCAATTACCCGGAATCGCGTGGGTTTGGCGGTCTGGCCAGGCGGCTCATACCGTATCTTACAGGCCGGAGATACCTCTGATTAGGGATTCTGATATTAAGACCCTGATCAGGCATCGAAGAAAGGGACTCGCATCAGTCATCCGTCATCCCTTTTCTTTGGGTCTCTTGGGGCCTTGCATGGGGAGGCATTTCTGGGTGCCAGTCGCGACAGCAGGCATCTGTACTATCTATGTAGAGTTAAATCTAAGCTAAAACGTGGCCCGTCTATCGTCTTCAGGGACAGCAAGAAGAACGAATGCCCGGGCGCTGTCATCCGAACGCATCAATCAAGCGCATCGCCCGGAAGCGTCGCTGCCTTTCGTACCCCCCCCCCCCCCCCCACATGCGCCTCTCTCGCAGTCTCGCTCGCTCTCGTCCTAGTTTCCGGTTGCTGGTTTCTGGGTTCGTTTGACTTCCTCATCATCGCCCGTCTCCTCCCATCTCTCTTCTTTCCCATATCCCCCCCACCTCCCTCCCAATCCATTCCCCTATCTACGCTTTCCATCTATTCCCGCATCCCCTACGGTTACTTTCTCTCGTTATTCGATATCCATTCTACCGTCGTAATCCCGCCACCAGCGAGTCCGTGTCGACGCGAGACCTCCAACCAGTCAATGAACGATGCGGGGATTTGAGGCATCGGGGCCCGGTGCTCTCTTTGATGCTCCCTCGACTCTTGCCACATCCATCCAAGTCAATCCCACCGCCGCTTTGGCCTCTCCTCCGACTGATCCGAAATTGGTCGCTTCGAACATCGAGCATGTTTTGCAAGCAATGTCCTACGACAATGGCGGTCTGGTTAGCGTCAGTGGCAACTCATCGGGTTCTACCGGCAAGGGTATCCTGATAGGCGTCCTCTCGGCCTTCGGTTCGGCCGCAGTCGCAGTTCTTGTTCTCGCGATCTTCTTTTTTTTCAAATATACCCAGCGGGGCAGAATCATACTCGATCGCATTGGCCGACCGGGCGAATTTGACGATGAGCAGGCGTTTGCGCGCGAGGAGGCAGAAGCCTTAGAGGTGATGGATGACCTGACGCGATCGGAATATCTAAGAGCAAAGGGTAAGGTATCCTTGTATTCGGTTGTGGTCTTATCTCTATTTTCTTTACCGGGGCTATCGACGACGATCGGAAGCTGTATTCGATGATGGACGTGCGTTTGTCGCTAACCCAATATGCAGCCTTTATCGAAGCAAACCCACCCGAGTCAATGCAAACCGACATATCGCTATCGCAATTCCTCGCAATACAAGAAAAAGGAGTGTCCGCATGGGAGTTTCAGCCAGAGTTGGAAATTGCCAACTGCTTTGTCGAAGGCCGGACGGAGATCGAGTTCTACGACTCGGAATGCAGTGTTCAAACCAATTTGCCTGTTCCGAAACAAAATGACGTCTATTACTGGGAGGCCAAGATCTATGACAAGCCCGATAATACTCTTATCAGTATTGGCATGACTACAAAACCGTACCCCTTGTTCAAGTTACCAGGTGCGTTTGTGGGTGTTGGGTCCATGACATCTTCCGTCGGTTGCTAATACCTTTCTTATGATGTCAGGTTTCCACAAGACCTCGGTCGCATACCAGTCCACGGGTCATAGGCGACACAATCAGCCGTTCACGCCAATGCCATACGGTCCGCAGCTTTTGCAGGGCGATGTGATCGGCGTAGGGTATCGACCTCGCTCGGGCACGATCTTCTTCACTCGCAACGGTAAGAAGCTGGAAGACGTGGTCCACGGCCAAAAGACGCAGAATTTCTTCCCGACTGTCGGCGCCAACGGCCCTTGTGCTGTACACGTAAACTTTGGTCAGATGGGATTCGTGTTTATCGAAGCCAATGTCAAGAAATGGGGTCTGGCCCCGATGACTGGCAGTCTGGCCCCTCCTCCGCCTTACGGAAGCGAACAAGGCAGCATCCTACTTGAATCAGGCCGGGAGAGTGCAGCTCAGATCTCTCAGCGGGTTTATCAGGATGCCAATAACGCGCGCACGAGTTCGACTGTCCGCGTGGCGCCGTCCGCTAGCCCTGGCCCAGTGCGGTCTCCAACCGACATCTCCCTGGCTCAGCTTGCTCACATCCCGTCGAACGAAGACGTCGGGGAAGGGTCGAGCCGGGCCAATGGCGAGGGTGAGCAGGTTCCCTTATTGCATACGGACGACCTCGACCAGATCCCGCCCCCTGAGTATTCCAGCCCGAACGGCAGTCTCAGAGGCAGCGAGGACCTGCACCCGATACCCAGTTACGATGCTGCTGTTGGCAATCGTGACGGCCACGACCTACCCACGGATGAGACCCGTTGAGGGCAACCGCCGTCTCATTTCTATTGTTATTGTTCATCATCAGTTATTGGCGAAGCGTCTCTTCGATGTGTATACGGCATGTTTCAGCCACTGACTACGTGGGTATATTTCTATTGTTCCTTGATTTTAGCGGCCACGGTCGGCGTTCCACAGGCGGATTCTGCGGGTTAGGTTTCACGGTTACGCCGCTAGACGTGGCAATGATGAATTACGTATATAGGGTCTGGTCGTTTTGTCTTCGTCGCTTGGATCGATTTGCTCGGTTGCGGTCGTGGGAACGAGAGCGTGCCTGTGCCCCATCGACTGCCAGGGTCTCTGGCCGAAGGGGTGAACGGGCCATGTTGTTTCCATGATATCCTTGTTTCCTTCCGAATTCGTGTCAAAAATGGTTGCTATTGAACTGGGCGGATTTATTGCGGTGTTGTCGGGGGGGTTATCTTTTCTTGATCGAACACATACAGTGGCTATTTATAACATTCCCTGCCTGGCGCTTTCCTTCGTGTATGTGTAGCTGCCCTTTGGCAATCGGCCTAGCATACTGCCTGGTGCCGAAAATTGTATGACCTGAGTGACACTCAGCAACGGACTCACTCCCCTTCTTATACAAAATTCATTGTTGGGGGGAGGAGCTCCTTCCGTGGCAGGAGGGCCTCGCCTTGCACCTTCCGCATCCAGAGCGGCCGGCGCGTCATCATCAACCAATCGCTCTCTGCTGCCCGCGATAAAGAAACCGCCTCGATCTCTCTTCTCTTCTTCGTTCTTTGTCGTCCAGAGCTGCATCGACGGGCTCATTTGTCATCATCTACCCACGCCCCCGATAGAGTTTCTGTTCCTTGTTCCTTGGCTGGTCTTCCTCTGGCGATGCTCATCCTCACTTCTTTATATCTTGATCGGCCTTCCCCTCATCGATCACACCTACACCTCGCCTCACCTTCGTAACTTAGCGGATTGGGCAACGATAGCGATTTCTCGAGTCTCGATCGCATCGGACAGGGTTGTGGCATTTTCTTCAAGCTCAATTCCCCTCCTCCGTCTTCATTGGCTCTCGCACAAGCCACCCCATTTTGCGTTTGTTGCCAACGCCGTTTTCCGATCATTCCTCCAGCCACCGAATCATCCGTCCACCAGCCCGGACATTAGCGCCCTGCAGCTGGCCAGTGGCGAGCGAGTGACTACCAACAAGCTGGGCACTAGTTATCTCGTCTGGTGCAACGGAGCTTTGCCCCAGATCTATGGGGAAGAACCCTCGCAGTAGTCGGTAGCAGTCGGTTGGAATCCCTGCCGCATTGGCCTGCCTACCAGCCCGACCGCTATCTAGCGTGAATAGCATTGTACAGCTCCTCAAAACGGGATTCGTTCTTCTTCAGATTCCGGGAGTGACGCGTGTCTGAGCGAGGAGGTTCTCCGCCACCCACGGTCACACCTGCGCAGCCAAGCGAGGGAGGAGGGCATTTAATATCTGCGCTCAGCCGCACTGGGTGGATTAGTTGCATTTGGCGCGCGAGGACCGTTGGTTCTGCCCTTGCTCATATTCTTCGGGCAAATACGCAGTAGATACGGCACCGGCGATCGCGCCCAGCCTTATACCGGGTGGAAACTGCATCTTAGCTTCCCTGAAATATCCCCACACGGTCCGGGCACCACCCCAAGTGGTCTCTGAAAAAGAGGGCTAGAGCTCGTTCGAAAGGGCGATCCTCTCTGGAGGCCTAACGACCCATTATTCCCTGTGGCAGCTGATGCTCAGGCGGTTTTTTGCTCACTAAATGAATCATTCAAAAATGCAACAGGCTGAATTGCCTTATGTTGGACCAAACCCTCCACAAATTGATAGCCCAGAAGAAGCTCCGGGTTTACAGATCATCGTTTTGGTAAGTCTTGTCTCACACTCTGCGTTCGTCTGTCCCATGTGGGTTTGACGTCTTCCCTTTTCACATGTTTTCCATCCTGGCAAGCCCGATCACTGGCATCCATGCGCCATGTCTCACATTCCTCCCCGCGGTTGTCCCGTCCTAAGTTCCGTACATTGCATCATTTCTTGCCGGTTGTGAGTTTCCACCTCGGTAGTCGACCACTAACACTTGCCTGTGAAGGGTCCAACTGGAGGTCCCCGTGAGGATAGAGTCACTGGACTTCTGGTCCGATCCACATCGACTAAATGGTCATCAAACTCGGTGGTCGCTGTTGATGCAGGTACCCTTCTTTGTGGGATTATTGACTCTCTCAAGCCGTGTGATAATCACCAGGAGGTATCAGACCAGGGCCCCTTTGCTGGTCTTGAACTTCCACACAACAATGCTCCGGCAAATGCAGCGCACGTTTTCCGGCACATCATTGGGGCTGTTTGCATCACACATCCTCATTTAGACCATATGTCGGCATTTGCCATAAATACGCCGGTTCTGGAGGCAGGATGTGGAGCGAAAACGCTGGCTGCCCTACCCTCTGTAGTCGCTGCAATCAAAACCCACGTGTTCAACGATGTGATCTGGCCAAACTTGTCCGATGAAGATGGCGGAGCTGGCCTTGTCACCTACCAGCGCTTAATGGAGGGTGGCAACCCTATGATGGGCCGTGGCGACGAGAGAGGCTATACACGAGTCTGCGAGGGCTTGTTGGCAAAATGCCTTGCCATCAGTCACGGGCGCTGCAGGCAGCGCTCCAACCCCGAGAGTGAGGTCCAACACCGGCTGAGCAGCGCCGCTTTTGGTTTTGATCCCCTAAGGCTGAACCCAAGGGGCTACTCGGTCTCGTTTGACGAACCAGAGTCTGGTTACTTTTCTCCGTCACGTTCGCCGGGCTTTCGTGTATCCGGGAAGGATGGCTGGGCAGCCGTCGAGTCCTCGGCGTTTTTCATCCGTGAACCCACTACGAAGCGAGAAGTGATCATCTTCGGCGACGTGGAGCCCGACACAATCTCACTCAATCCACGCAATCGACGCGTGTGGGAAGCAGCAGCACCGAAGATCGTTGCCTCTCAACTGCGAGCGATCTTCATCGAATGCTCCTATAATGACGATGTTGACGACGCGTCCTTGTACGGTCATCTTTGCCCACGCCACCTAATTGATGAATTGATTGTATTGGCGCAGAAAGTCACGGAATTAAAACACCCGGAGTCATTCTTGATGAAAAAGCGTAAGCGTGCGAGCGCCCCCGAGGCACCCGGAGACCCGGCCCTGAGCCCCAAATCGAAGAAGGCGGCCCTCGCTGGAGAGAAAAGTGGAAGCTCTCGTCGAGGGTCTGCTAGAACGACGCGTCGCCATACGCGTGCAAGAGTTGCTCTGGAAGATCCCAATGATCTTATGGGAGGAAGCCCCTATGTTTCTCATGCACCTAGTGAGGTTGGGATAGATCTGTCACTGGCCGAAAGTTCGGACCCTCTGACGGCACTTCAGTGGCCTGAACCGCCTCTGGCTGGTCTCTTGGTCTATATCATACACATAAAAGACGACTTGAATGATGGCCCACCTCCACAGGAGCGCATCTTGCAGGAACTCAAGGCCCAGGGGGAAGCTGCTGGGTTAGGATGCGAGTTCCGTGTTCCCGCACGTGGTGAGAGCGTTTTGATCTGATTGCCAGCTTGAAAAAGCTGCCGCAAGTTCATCATGGCACATCGCCCTTACACTTCAGCAGTACTCCATGCTTCTCTCCTAATGATTGGACGAATGCCAGACAATATAGCATTTTGCTACATAATTTGTCGTGGACGCACGAGGCGACTTTGGTTGCAGGGTTTCTTTGCCAAGGAACGTCGAAATTTTCGTGTCCGAACTCTTATTTTTATACGATAGCCTCTTCTATTTTACATCTTATGTTGCTATGTGGCGCGGCTGGTGGGAGCAAGGTCATGCGCTTCAAAATTTTACCTGTAACTTGTGCTTTCAGCAGATACCACTTGTACATTCGAGCGCATTGTCAATAGAGGCAGGGTTGCGAGACATCTGGCACCCCTGTGCCGGATTGGATAACAGACGCCATACATATCCCTACCTCGATAACTGGAGAGAATAATAAAGATAATAGAAGACATAGTTGATCACCCGCATGCCATTGTGCATAGGACTCAAGGATCATGAATCGCAGGCAATGATACAAGATATACAAATTGTTCATTCGTAACCATATTCACAACATAAATACATGGAACACCACTCCGTACCCAAAGATAACCCTGAACCGAAAAGGAGTAAAGAATACAAGCCACATACTCAGCCCCACTAAGAGCTACCAATACTCTTAGTCTTCTCCGTAGCCTGACAAATAACATCCTCCCACACCGCATTCTCACCCCGGGGAACCGTCAACCCCGAACTTTGCTCTTCCGCATCATCGGACCGAGTTCCGGATAGATCAAGAACGGCCTCCCCGTCTCTCGCAAACGCTATCAAATCCTCCTCGCTACCCCATTCTCCCATCGCCATCAAACCAATCGGAACCCGGGATCCATCCCGCGCGTCATATCCCGCGGGACAGTTGATCGCAGGACAGCCGGTGAAGTTGGCCAGCCAGACGTATTCCATGTTCCGGACGGAGGATTTTCCGTCGGATACGCCGCGGGCGAGATCGGCTTCGCCGCCTTCGATTCTCCAGCCTGGGATTGGGGTGGTGGGGCTGAGTATTAGGAGACCTGGGTGTTGTTGGAACAGATAGGCGAGATGGGTCATCAGGCAATTTCGGAGGCGCTGAGAGGCGAGGAAGTCCTGGCCGGTGATTTGCCACATGCCCATTGAGACTAGGACCTTATTGGGGGCAGTTAGTTGGCTGATTTGGTGAGGGGTGAGGGCCGAGGCGATTTCGTTCATGATGGTGAGGACGTGCGCGCGTTGGCCTTCGGGGAGGTAGGGTATCTTGATGTCGATGATGGTGTAGCCTTGCTCTTTGCGGTAGTACTCTAGGGCTGCGTCGAAGACGGAGCGAACTGAGGTTTCGGCCCGGTCGATCCAGTCCCGCACGATGCCGATAGTCTTGGGTCGGGGGGTGGCTCTGGATTCGGCCGCGGCAAGCTCAAGGAGAGGTGGCGGGAAGGCTGCTGAGAGAGGGTCTTCCGCTGTTGGAGCGGGTGTGGCCATGATACGGTAGGCAAGTGCCAGGTCGTCGATGCTGGCGGCGATAGGCCCATAGACGCCCACGGTTGTGGCGAGTGAGACGGTAGGAGAACCGCTAACTCGGCTGTGGGATGGTTTGAGACCCCAGATTCCGCAGAAGGAGGACGGGATGCGAATCGAGCCTCCGCCGTCGGCGCCCAGGGCGATGGGCACCAGGCCTGCGCCGACGGCATATCCAGATCCTCCCGAGGAGCCGCCGCAGTAGTAGTTGGGGTTGTGGGGGTTTCTGGGGGTGCCGTAGTTCGGGTTGTTGTTGGTGGTGTCTATCGTTGAAGGTGGTTGTTAGCTCTGGGTTGTGATGGGTTTGCTGGACAGTGCACTCACCTAAGCCCAGCTCGTGCATCGTGGTCTTTCCAATCACGATGGCGCCGGCTTCCTCCCATTTCTTCACACACCAGGAGGTGCCACCATTATCGCCGGTGAAGTCAATCTTACTTCCCAGTGTCCGCCGGTAGCCCTCCATGTGCACTTCGTCCTTGACCGCAACAGGGATACCATCCATGGGTCCTAGCTGATGGCCGCCTTTGTATCTTTGTGTAGAGGCTTCTGCTGCAGCGCGAATTCTCTCGATTTGCGCATCCAAAAAGGCGACCGAGTGCTTGCCGGGTGGATTGGCATCGCGGCGGATCAGGGGAAGCAAGGTCTCGACGACGGCAATAGGAGTCAATTCCCCCGATTTGTAGCGAGCTACATAGTCGGCAGAGGTGTAGTAGCCTGCATTTCCATTCCGCTTTTGGGTTGGAACGGGCAGACTGGCTAGAGACAAGGTGTCGGGGTTGGCGACGGGGATCACGGTAGGATCATATCGGGCGGAGTACTGGTCGAGGGGGAGGTTGCGGATGACGTCGAAACCGGCATTGCGCCAGAAGTAGCTTTGGATAAGGCCGACGTTTTGGATACTGAAAAATGGGGGGTAGTTGCTGGTTAGCGAGGGAGTGAATGAAGAAGAAGAGGAAGACTTACAGGGTGGCTCCGATGGCCAAGGGAGTGCCGCGGAAGACGGGGATCACCTGGTCCTCGTTCTTGTACGGCACCGCGGGTCCCGGTCGAACCTCCGGATAATGGAAGAATTGAGCTTTCTCGCCCATGATGCCTCTGACACGCAAGAGGTTTGCAATCCGGGGACGGAGGAGGGAGGACGGGAGGACCGAACAAAGAAGCCAGCTCGAGCTGGTCAGCTGCGGTGCTCCCCGCCAGAGCTTCCCAACCTTCCAGCCGCGGTTCAAACTGTTGCCAAGCCTGCCGTCACAAGCTCGATAACTAGTAGATACTAGATAGATAGATAGTATCTAGGGACACTGCTACACTCGCCACCGATCAACAAGAAGAAAACTTAGGCTGCCAAATTACATATACAGTAGTTACTTTTCATGGTGTCATGTTTTTGCCACATTCAGACCTCAAAATGCCAACTTGATGTTCGCCCGGTCCAATCCCAGCGCAATGCCCGTCAGAACCGCGGCATATCCGATCAGGATGGCCATAGCCTGTGCTGTACTGACATCAAGGGTGGGAACGCTCAGATTCACAGCCCCAGTGAGCAGGTTGGCCACCAGGAAGATGGCCAGCCCGCCCTTGTTAAATGCCTTGAGGACACGGCTCGTCGCAAACGAGACCCGCTCGGCCTCAGTATCTTTCCCCAGTGTCCGGTGCACGGATGGGAAGAAAATCGTCTCCAGGAGACAAAATAGAAACAGCTGGGAATTGTTAAACGCAGACACCCAGAGTACATAGGGCATGTTGGCGAGGCGGCGCGATACCGGAATGTTAGCGCCATACCCCATCGCATAGGTTGAGTTCAGGAGGAACAGCGCAGACCACGAGAGGGCTTGGACCCCCAAGGTCACAAGCACGCGCTTCCTAGCCTGTTGTGGGGACCTCGAGGGGCTTGTCCCGCGGGGAATGATCCGAATGCCAGCGGCACGACCGGCCAAGAAGATCGCAAAGTATCCTAGGAAAGAGAAGATCCCTTCCCGGTTCTTGGATAAGAAGCTCGGTCCACGAGGCGATACGAGGATGTAGCCCTTCAGATCGGTCGACTCGAGAGCGACCTGATACAATACAGCAACACCCAAGGAAAGGATCTCATAGGATGGAATGATAGCAGCCAGGGAGTCAAAAAGCTCCACGAAGGGAGGCAAAAGACCCAAGGTGAAGAAGAAGTTCCAGTGCACGCCATACTCCGTCACATGCTCCGCGTAGTCAAGTCCCTTCACACTGTACAGCCTGATCAATCCCAACACAAGCAGCGGGACCGAGTGCCGCGTGGACCCTGTCAGCCGTTGCCAGGTGGGAGTCTTCTTGGCTCCGCTCTTCCGACCCTTGAGTACTGAGCGAGCAGACACCACCCCTCCAGAAAACACAAAGGATCCAACCCCCAAATCCATGAGTGACGTGCCCCAGTTCTCTACCTTGGCGAACCGTCGTGGGAATGCCGGGAAGTCCACCGCCAGGATGGCAATACAGGTAATGATCATCATGGCTGCGCGATACGTTGTAAGGAACGGGTGCATTGGCAGAGACTCGGACATATCCGATGTTTTATCGGCCGCAGTTGATCTCGGCGGAGGCTTGGCCTTCTGTTGGCCTCGGGGAGGTCTCGAATTCAGGATCATGAGGGCAGGAGCGATCAGGAGGGCGTTGAGCGTCCATGGTGCAGAGGAGTATACCGTCGTGGCAAATAGGATAGCCAGTACATTGAGGAGAAAGTCGGTCACCAGTGCTGCTGAACTGTAAGGAGTAAAGAAGGAAAGACGTGATTGTAGCGCAGACCAAAGTAGGATAGCTGCCTGGAGCAAATCCCGAGTTAGTGACAATCGAAAAAAAATGACGTATCCAGGCGATTGACTTACAGGTGCGACCAGCGTCACAGCATTGATCTCATGGATTCCTCCGCCTGCCAGATTGGACACGAAGGCCTCTTTTCGCACCTTGTAGTCGGGATCCATGCTGGCAAGCACTTCCGGGTTCGAGTCCAATTGAGCGAGAGAGCAGGAAAGAAGGAGGAGGGGGAAGAGGGAAGAAGAGAGGTACGACGTTGCAGAAAGATTGGAGTTAATCTTGCATCAGTAAGTAATTATGCTATTGCGACGTGGCCGGCGCAAGGAATGAAGCAGCAGCAGCAGCGATGACGCTGGAAAAGACACCCGGCAAACAAACAAGTCCAACTGGCCACCAAGCCACTAAGGCACAAGCACCTCAGGCTAGCTACATCCCCAATCGGGCTAGCGTCGGGGGCCTGAATTACCCAGTATGGTAAACCGATTACGTCCCCGCCTTTTGCCATACCTAGAATCGGTGCCCCTCCCAAGGTTGCAACTTTCCACCTTTTCCATGGCCTACCTTCCCCTCAGCAAATCATCCGCTGCCATCTTTCCTGCTGGGGAGTTCATTTCCAACATGTCAATTGGGGGTGGCAATCGTCCAATGAATGGCAACTACCCCTGTGGTCACCATTGGCCCGTCGTTTCCCTTGTTCTTCGCTTTGTCTCACATCTGCCCCGATCAATTTTGGATCGATTTGTATACAGACACTCTCTCCCATTCCCCCACCCAACAGACAAGGAGCCTCTTGATTCTGGTGGTCATGGTGAGAATGTGAGGTCAAAGACTGTGGTAACGGTGAAATGAGGAGGGGGGGGAAAGAAATGAAAAATGAAAGAACAAAAAAGGAAAGAAGAAAGCAAAATCAAAAGCAAAAGCAAAAGGTCAGCCGGGATCTGCTGTGGAATATCGTGCTTACTTCGCTAGACTTGCGCCAGATCGATCTTGACTGCGCCGTATGAATTGCTGACTGAGACTCACATAACTTACCTACACCTGCCAGGCTACCAGGCTGCCATTGCTCGAACCTCCACATATTTCGGATCTACATTCTCTAGGGGACCAACCACGTTCTAGCACGAGACGCACCAGAATTCGCCCACTGAGATTGCGCATTACTATGGGGTACCATACTACTGCTGGGGCAGGGGTGCGAAGGTGAGCACAGAGGGGACGGAGTTTCTCCGTGTCCCTTAGTAGTACGGCTACGCAGGAAGCTGCTTTAGCCTGCGTCGTCGTTTCGGGCTAGAATTGGTTGGGTCAGCCGAGATTTAGCTCACAAGACATGCTGTGCCGCTTCTTCCATCGTTCTGCTGGGCTTTGGGCGACGTGAAAGACGACCGATAAGAAGAATTATGGGATGCATCCACCACAAGCCAATCAATCGGGAAGAAGATGATCACCAGCGGTTTTCAGTAAAGTACACGGCCGTTTCCCGTGCGGATGCAGCCTGGGACAATGATATGCAGCTATCAGGCCCACCGTACGGCTTTAGTACGGCTTACCTTAGGAGATTTATTTTTTAGGGTCATTTCGGCCGATGACCGGTATGTATGTACTCCGTACTCCGGGGTACATCGATGCCATGGCCCTGCCCCCTGGACATTGATCACACCACCACGTCGACTTTCCCGGTGCCTGGAGAATCGAAAGTGGTTCCTGAAAGTTTGTTGCTATGCCAATGGCACGTCATCATCCAATCTCCCACCCTTGCGAGCCCAAGACGAGGGGGAAATGGGCAAAGAGGCAGAAAAAGCAAAAAAAAGGGCAGGAAAAGCGAGGGAGGGAAAGGTGGGATCCAGACTCCATTTGAACCTTTTTGGATAAAACTGACTAACCTGAGATGGCAGGCCCTGAGTGCGTCATGCATTGGCGTTCAGCCAGCCTTCTCTTCCAGGTCCAGGGCCTCGGGGGTGCTGCAAATCCTCGCCCTTTGGTCGGCTTTTGCCGTCTAGTCTCGGGCGTGTTGCCCACTACATTCCCACTCTTGGTGATTCTGGACGGGAAAGTCTGGTTTCGATGTTCTACGGAGCTTCTTCGTCGGGCTTCTCGCCCGACACGAGAATTCCACCCGGCAGTCGATTGGTTCCGATTACTCAGAAGGGCCTTCTGGGTCAACCTTCCGCTCGGCTCAGCAAATCGTAGTTGGCCCTGATGGAGGGCCAGGCAGTGGACCCGATCTACTTACCCTCGTGGCGAGCACCACTCAAGTGCTACCATGGTTGCAACTGGCTCAAGGGGGCTCGCTGCCCAGTATTTACTCGCTTCCCAAATTCCGAAATTAGTGTCACGGAGGCTTCCGAAGTCGGATAAAGGCAACCGTTTGGGGAAGTTAGGGAATATCTCTGGTTTCGTTGGCGCGAAAAGCGATGGGATACGATTCGTTCAGCCGTGAGCACTAAAAGAGAGGCTCTTTGGGGGTCAGTAATGATTGTCCGCATCTGATAGCCTGGCAGATCCTGGAATCTGAGATTCGGATCCTGGAACCGCTGGGATCGTGCATACCAATCCAAAACCCGCAGATCGCTGGGCAAGTTGGTGGTCAGCCGCCGTCGTACTTTGTCAGTACAGCCAAACCCACTTCTTATGGTCCGATCCGCTTGGTCTCTCGACGTCCTAACCCCTAGGGATAAAGTACGTCGCACTCGGTATTCCCCCGTCCCGCCTGCACTGCGGTGGTCCTCGAACCAGTTTCTGTTTGTCGGTCTGTCGTTCTCTGCTCAGCCTGAACTCTGCTTTGGCCCCAGCATGGTGCCAAGGATTTCTCCAATGGTCGAACGCACGCCGTGAAGCTTCGGAACGAGTTCAAAGGCTACGTCGCCCTGGAATTATTTTTTTTCCTGCTTTCTCGTTCGCTTAAAAAAGAATATAATGTATCCGCTACTGAATCGGGTCTGCCATGTGGCCCGGAAGGACTAAGATCCACCAAGTGGTCACTACCGTACGAAGGGATGCTCCTCCAGACGCAAATTCCGAGCTGGACACGCCCATGGGCTAGAGGGACAGCAACCAACCACCTGCCCGGTTCCTCTTGAGTCCTGACTTCCTCGAGGTGTCTGACACCACCCTCTCGGTTACTTGACTGGTGTGCACTACCGCCACGCAACCAAGCCAGCCCGTCTAGGGTGCTGAGGGCCCCCTCGAATTGCGAATTAGAGCGTGCTTGTAGGTCGGGAGGGTCGGAAGGTGCTCATAGCGCAGCGCCGCCGACCCATAGAAGTAGCTTCTTGAAGAAAAGCACTGCACCATAACCGCCCCCCTTCCTCCAGGGGATTTTCCAGGCCGTGGGACCTGCTCATTGGCGCGTCTTCGGGCCCCCAAAACAACGGGTGGTAACGAGGCGTAACAGCTAAGAATAATGTTGGGGAGCCGGAGACTCAAGCGTCCAAGCTGTCCGGGAGAAGACAGTGACGATCTGGAGACCAAGCCAGGACTAGATCCTCCCAGGCCATACGTGCCTAATTTCTGCGCGAGTCTGACCTGGAATAATGGGTCCTGGCAGCCATGCCCAAAACGGGCAGTTCCCTGATTATTATTCCCTCCAAAGTCCAAACGCTCAACAAAGATCCCACAGCCTACTGCTGTCTACCTACGTATCTACCCGCCCACCTTGTTCCTATCAGGCGGCCTCCGTCCGTCCCCTTGGGTATATATACCTAGTTTAGCGCGACCCACGCACTTGGAACCGCTATAGTCGCATCTTGAGAGGCGGCCTCGAGTCCTCTGGTGGCCCACGCACGACTGGGATGCCTCACTCTTCCTAGAACGCCCATCTCCACCATCCGCCACGAATCTCTTCTGTTCTCCTTCCATCACCGTCGAGCTGGGCCCGAGTTGCTGCGCAGGATGAGCCCTACCCCAGAGCCCCCGACGACCAAAAAACGCGAGTCCCGTGCTGGGGCGCGTAAAGTGACGTCGCTCTCTGCCGAACAACTGGAGAGGAAGCGCGCCAACGATCGGGAAGCTCAGAGAACCATTCGGCAGCGGACAAAGGAGCATATCGAGCGGCTGGAGCACCAGGTGGCTGAGCTGAAGGCCAAGGGAGAACAATTCGACGATGTCGTCCGACGGAACGTGGCGTTGGAACATGAAATTCGGGCTTTGAAGCATCAGCTCGCCGTGGCTAGCAGACAAGGTTATCCGGGTATGGGTAGGTCACCGGTCTTCGTCGTCCACAAAGATTCAAGGGTGGTTGGAAGGTTGCTGACAATCGTTTCGGTGCAGCAGAAGGGTCGTATGGTAATAATGGCTCCGGGTCCATGCTCCCTGCCTCGCAGTTCGCAGAGCCCATGGGGATGAATCCAGCTTCCAGAGCACCGTCTGTCCTTTCTACGTCTAGTCGGGTTTCCATGGGGTCGGAGTGGCCACACTATGGTCCAACACGGTCCCCATCAACATGCGAATCGACCGAGACGAATTATGGCAGCCGAGCCGAGTCCTACCTCTTCGAAAATCAACTCCAACCGTCTGCAGCGATTTCCGTCGCGCCGCCGCAGGTCGGCTACAGCGCCCCTGTCTGTACTCAGCCTGAAACGACGTTTCATTCGTATGCTCAAGCATACCACACTGGAAACGTCAGTCGCGGACCGGCGGAAGAACTTGCACAGCACCCCCCGCAGCCACTCCCCTGCGTGCCCGGCCAGCGGCCTATGTCGGTGCCAACGATGCCAACGGAGAGACCTGGAGGATATCCGGTCGTCCACGCACCACAGCAATATCATCAACACACTCTCCCGCCTCAAACAAGGAATGAATACGGCTATGGCTGGGCCCCGCATCAGTCCTGAGTCTACCTAGTACGTAGATGGGGCCCTGGGAGATACTTTTTCTTAGCACGACCCAAGGCATTTGCGGCTATTGCCTGAATGAAGGCTCAGTGAGCGATCAGACGATTGTTTAGGCCAGCGCTCTCGACTGAAAGCAGAGGGAGTGCACACTATCTCGGACTCCATACACAAATTCGTGTGTTGCTCGCGGACATCCCACTACGGACTGACCGTATGCTACCAGGCTATCCAGATCGTATGCAAAGCCACGAAGGGGACTCATTAGACCGATCTTTGCACGACTTTCATCGGCGTCCACCATGGCGACCGGGATCTCACTAGCTCTGGCGGTCACCATACCGTCTGCCGGGACTGAGCAGGTCTGTCCCGTTCGCAGGCTGACCGACCCGCAACAGAGCATATCCGTGATCCGCCCCGAGAAGAGTTTGCCTACCGAGACACGCCCGTCCGGCGTGACGATGGATTCTACGTTTTCACGATTCGCCAGCAATGTGGAGGAAGTAATGCAGAATCAGATTGCATGATAGACTAGATTTCGATAACCGAGATACCCCGAATCCACTTGGTCGGTTTCAGAATAATCCAAACCGTACTACAACGTCATCATCTCCTCTCACCCAGTAAATTATTCTTGTCCCGTTTCCAGAATCAATCTCTGTTCCATGAAACGAATCCATTCGGCCCGGCGCCGGCTCGTCTACCGGACTCCCGATACTGAAAGCAGGCACACCCTCCACCAGCCAGGAGCGGGACCGTGAATCTGAATCTGATTCGAGCTCGGCAGACAAATGCCGGAAGATCGGGCCAGTGTAACTACCGATCTCTCCCTCCGCCTTCCATCCGATCGGAACCATCCCCATCCTGCTGCCTCTGTTCCTGTATCCCAAGGGTCTTCTCCTTCGTCTCTACCTAATACCCCGTCACGAGATCCTGAAAAAGCGGGCTCGCTTCATCCCGATCGCTCGTCCGGTTAACCTTATGTCGAAATGATCGGCGTGGTCTCTACATAGTAGTACTTATCTACTATGGAGGTCGTCGGTCCGGTCGGTCGCCCGGTCGGGTCCACTACATTATGTACGGTCTCTGCTTTCCTATGCCCAATGGGCATCGAATCGGATGCATTTTCCGCCCGGTATCCCAAGCGAGAACCCTAAATTGTGCTTCTTTATGGATGTTGATGGGGATTATGAATCAAGAAGCATGGAGAAGTATAGGCTATGAAACTTGAAACACGAGGTGATCGTTCGTTTAGTACTGTCGGTTGAAGCCGACGCATATCTATCCCATCCCATCTTCCCCACATTGATCAATAAGATACATACATGCATACGACGTCTACGACACGGACATTCTATGGAACGGCGGAAAGAAGATGGAGAAGGAAGTGGGGGAGAGTGATGAGGTTTCAGATTTAGTGAGTGTACTGCTTCTGGAGCAGCTTGGCGATGGTTTGCAGCTGGATGTTGCTGGTGCCTTCGTAGATGGCTCCGATCTTACTATCCCGGAACATCTTCTCGGCGATGCCTTCACGCACGAAGCCCATGCCTCCCATCCACTCCACTGCAGAGCCGGACACGCGGCCGGCAACTTGCGAGGCATACAGCTTCGCCATGGCAGCGTCTTGCACGAAGTCTTGTCCGGCTTCCTTCTTGCGCGCCGCGTTGTAGACCAGCGCTCGTGCGGCTGCGATCTCCGTGTATGCCTGCGCGATCTGGTGCTGCATGCCTTGGAAGTTGCCGATCAGTTGGCCGAATTGGCGGCGGTCGTTCCAGACATACCTGTGTCGGTGGTTAGCGGGGTGAAGGATTTGAGTGTGGGGTGGATGAGATGAGGTGGGTTCTTACCGTGCGGCGTTCTCCCAAGCACCAAGAGCCAGACCAGTCATCTGAGCGGCGATACCGATCCGGCCCTCGTTGAGCACGCTGATGGCGTACTTGTATCCCTGACCTTCTTCACCGAGCAAGTTGCTCTTGGGGATCACGACGTCGTCGAAGTTAAGCACGCAGGTGCTGCTGGCCCGGATACCCAGCTTCTTTTCCTTTTTGGCGATGGAAAAGCCGGGAGTATCCTTCTCGAAAATAAAGGCTGTGATACCACGGTAACCCTGGCTGGGGTCAAGGTTCGCAAAGACAATGAACACACCGGCCTCCATAGAGTTGGTGATCCACATCTTGGAACCGTTGATCTTGTATCCATCAGCCGTCTTCTCAGCCTTAGTCTGCAAGGCAAACGCATCCGATCCGGAGGCCGGCTCCGACAGACAGAATGAGCCGACGGTACCCGTCGCCAGCTTGGGCAGCCATGTGCGTCTGGCCTGCGCGTCACCGTACTTCATGATAGCAGTGTTGACCAGGGTGTTGTGGACATCAACGAGAACACTGACGCTGGGGTCAACGCGAGCCAGCTCCTCGATGGCGACAATCGCAGCCGTGAAGTTCATTCCCGCACCGCCGTACTCCTCCGGAATTTCGATGCTCATCAACCCTTGTTCGAATAAGTGCTCGACCACTGCTGGGTCCATTGTCTCCGCTTCATCCATATCTCGCACTTTGGGGGCAATTTGGTCCTGCGCGAATTTGGAAACCGACTCGGCCATCAGGGACTCGGTCTCGGAGAGAAAGGTGATCGGGGTTGGGGTCAGGCCGGACAGGTCGACATCCCGCCGGCGGGATGTGGTGGAGAAGGCATGGGTGCTGCTGAGGAGAGGTGTCAGTGGGGGTGAGGGAATAATGGTGGTGTTGTATGCTATTTCTTAGGCTGGCTGATTCTGGCTGGAAGCTGGAGGGCTGGATCATGGTAGGAATCTCACCTCAAGGCAAGCCTATACGGCTGTGGCGGTCTTGCGATAAGGCGGGCGGAGGTTGCAGTGCGCGACAAGGGCCGCAACGCACGGGTGATGGACGCCATTATGAAATCTGGACAAACAAAGGTATCTGGGTAGTGTGAATGTGAAACGCACGACAGGACCTAAGAGGGGAAGGAGGGGGGAAGAAAAGGAGGAGAGCAGCTGGGGATTGAACGGGGTGAAATCACGAGGCGACAGATGGGCCTCGGCTAAACGCGGCCGAGGGCCGTCGATCAGCCGTCTCCGTCTCTCCGCACTTTACCTCCGGCTTGCACCTCTCCATTCCCTTTCAGAGACTACGGAAGAACTGAGAAGGCTTGCGAGTCACTGCTACTATCATCAACATTATTTTATCGCATTGATCTCCAGTACGCCTATCTATGGCCCCAGACAGGAACTCCCAAAACCGTTCACATGCTTTCCCGGTTCATCAAACGCTGAACACCTTTTCCGGCTCAAATACCTTTGCCTGAGAGAAGTAATAGCCTCGCTGGTTCGCCACAATGCGTTTCCCGGTTCGGTTGTCCGTAAAGTCGCAGTTGTAATGCGTATGCCCGAATGCCCACAGCCGCACCTGGGGTTTTTCCCAACACGGTTCACCAGTAAGGTCCGTTGCGAACGCCGACGAGATGGGGCTCTTAGCATGGACGGGATCAACCGCTGATGGTGCAACCGTCGGGCTGTGATGGCTGAAGATTACGATCTTGTGGTGCGGATCAGATTTGGCGATTTCGGAGACTTGATCGTTGAGCCAGGCACGATCGGCTTCGTGGACAGCGCGGTGGTCCTCGACCGACCAGTCCTTGATGTAGTAAAAGTCATTCAGACCGAAGCTAACCCGCTCCTCCTGCATCTCGCAGATCTTGGTGTGAAATGTACACCCTAGGACGGTGACGTCCGGGGCCAGATCATATCGTGTTTGGTCGAGAAGGACGAACTCCCCTAGCTTGGGAGATCCGGGTTGAGTGTGTTGCGCTCGTTTGTGGCTAATGTCGTCAGAGAATTGCCTCAGTTTCTCTCTCACCTCCGGCCAGCTGGAATGGAAAGGCTCGTGATTTCCCAGCACGAGGAAGACGACCTCGAATTTGCGCAGCTGGTCTTCGATGAACGGGAGGAAGCCATCGTCCCTGACGTTGCCGATATCGCCTAGGAGCGCTAGATAGGGTGCTTTGGGCGAAATCTCGAACAGATCGTATGCGACAGGGTTTTCTAGGTGCAGATCTGAGACGATCTGGAACCGTGCCATCGTTAGTGAGGGGCTGGACCTCCCTTGGTCCGTCAATCAACCAGGTGTTAAGCGCCCTGCAACCGCTGAGGGATCACGCTGCGCACTGACTGGCTCGGTGGAGGAGGGGAACGCAAAGACCTCTCGAGTGTCTCCACTCGGGCAGTCCTTTCAGGGTCCTTGGATGGATGACTGGAGCTGCTCTTGCCGCCGACTGTGTATCGGTTCTATTCTTGTTCGGGCTCGACCACTCACACGCCGCCTTCGCGATATGTGGCGGTGCAGATGTGATGTGACGGAATGTGGCGCAGTTCCGCCAAGAGCGGACGGCGCCATTATGTCACTCGCCCTCCTCCAATTCATTCAGCGATCATCCCCCATGGGCTGCCTGCCGCGGTGCACTCAGGTATTTATTGCCTGTCTCCCGGCCCCGGGCTAGGCCTCCTTCTTCTTTGATTTTACCTCCTTTAAGATCTTGGGGCTGCGGTTGATGTCTATCATCTTTCACTTGCCAAACATCTAGGCTGCGCTGCGCTGCGGTTATCGGTTCCCCGCAAAGTCCCCCCTCCCCCACTCGGTACAGGGCCTTCGTGTGAATCTATCTGCCTACGTCAATTCCTCGGGGGTTCGGCCATGGCTTCCACCATTCATGACCCAAGGCTACTCTATAGCATCAATAACATCCGTGCCTATCACCTGCAAAATGGCGAGGAGACGGAACTTACTCCGTCTGGACCCCAGACTCTCTCGCTTCTAATGGTTCCAACCAGAACTAGCACACCTGAGAACTCCTTTTCTACACCTCCCCCCAATACCTCTGCTGAGGATGACTTCTACCTTCACTTGCATCTACCACCGGAGTTGGACCTAGCGCTCCCTGCGACTACCCAGATCTTCCACCAGCATCCAGACAGCTACTTGATCCCTCGCTGGGATTTGGGTCCCAACGCCGGTGTATTCATTCGCATCCAGTTTCCGGGAGTTGGCTCCGGCCCGGGTAGGGTGACACAGGATGATGTGGATACTTTTGAGACAATCCTGGCCCAATGCACTGCGTTCCTCGAACGCGCACCCCCGCCCAGTGACCATGCTCCGTATAACCCTGCGGCATATGCGCCTAATGAGGGGTACATCTCTTCTCCCGGTACTAGTCAGGATGACTCACATGGGCGGATTGTTCTCGTGGATGAGGAGGATGGCAGCGTGGTTGGTGAGATGGAGGGGTATGATGTGGTGGAGAAGCCCGGGGTTCAACCTGGCTCGAAGAGTACGTACTGCACTCCTCCTTATCCGTGAGCCTTTGCTAACTGGTTTCTCTGTCTTAGGACCTGTGGAGGTTGAACTCCCTAACGAAGGTGAAGGCAATCAAGTCAGGGTCAGCAATGTCTCGGAGGAATACCTGCGGATGGCCCGTCACCCGGCCTACAAAGACTCGACGATTGTCCAGACATCAGCGACAGCCTCCCGATTGATTGTAACCGGATCTTCTTACCTTGCGAACATCCTCACAAGCGGCGCGGAGAGTTTCACCAAGAAGACTAAACCCAACCCCAAGCCCATGACCTTCTCGGAGACCACACACTCGCGGATCAGAAGGGTCGGCACCTTTTCACAGGGTGCTGCCGATCTCTCTGCTAAGACGGTTGGGCAGGTGGGTAAATACGCACAGAACATTGGTGCCTCTTTGGCCCGTCGCAAGGAGAATGATAGGCAAAGAGGGACAGAGAGGTATGGAAACGACTACAAGCCGGGCATCCTGAACAAGTCGATGATTGCGTTCTCGACTTTGACGGATGGCATCGAGCAGAGTGCCCGCAACGTGCTGATCTCTGGCTCGACCGCTGCCAGCACCATGATTGGACATCGCTATGGCGAGCAGGCGGGCTCCGTGGCCTCCAATCTCACTGGCGGTGTCAAGAATGTCGGTCTGGTGTACATTGATGCCGCGGGTGTGAGCCGCAAGGCTATGCTGAAGTCTGTTGCCAGAGGTATGGTTGTCGGGCGCATGCGAAACGGGCAACAGGTACTCATCGGCACAGGTGACGGCGGGGATGTTCCCCCTGGAGCAGCTGGTCCAAGCCAGCAACCTCAACAATCTCAGCAACCTCAGCAACCTCAGCAACCTTGGTCAGGCCTTCCTCCGGTGATGAGACGCCCATCCTCGAGCGCGACCCCTCCACCGGCATACGGTGCTCCGGGCACCACTTCACTAGGCGGTATATCCATGTCAGGGGGTCGGCGTTGATTCAAGAACACTTTCGCTATATCTATGATGCGCACCTTTTCGTTTATTTTTCACCTGTTGTATTGCGTTTAATGTAATGATCTTATGATCTTATGACTGATGCTCTGGGGCTGATTTGTTCTTCTGTTCGTCTTAATTCTCTCTGATGTATCTATGATATGGTCTTGCTGGGTTGTGCAGTCAATGGTATAGCGCTTGACTGCATTCTGGTAAACATGTATTCGGTTTATATGACCACGTATCTTCCTGCTTCCTATATTCTATGCTGGATTGGTGATTCTCGACAGTTACCTGGGCCATATCCACCACTCAGTGGTTGACAGACCCCATACAATTGCCTCGTCCAAATGCTGGAATAGCAGCGCTCATTAAATTCTCCGGGCATGGACACAGGTTAGGGGCTCCATTCTGAGACTTAGCTAGATAAGTAATATAACCCCGTCATCGCCTTTCGTCTTAGTTCCTACATCTATCAATCTCCGTCTCTCTGCCCTATCCTTTACAGTGGTTTAGTCAGTATCATTCAATATCACCAATAAGCTCATTAGTACCCTCTGCTCTTCATATCTAAATGATACCAGTCTACAGAATACTATTTCTAACAAACGATTTGGCCCCGTTACAACTAAGGAGATATATAACGGTGGTAGAAACCCACATCCCCACAACCTCATCACTCACCCATAACCACTTACCTACACAGCCATACAATCCTAGCCCACCATGTACGAGATCCCCTTCTTCGTTAATACTTGATAGTTACCAACAAGGCATCTCAACACAGCTCTTATCTGTTTTACAACATTTTTAGCCTTATATTTTAAAAAAGTAGAGATTTTTCCAAGAAAAAGACAATATGGCCGAGCGGTCTAAGGCGATAGACTAGAAATCTATTCTCTTCGGAGGCGTCGGTTCAAATCCGACTGTTGTCGTTTCTTTTTTGGTTTGTTTTTTTTGCTGGTTTTTTTTTGGGGGGGATGGTGGTGGATGTGGGTGGATGTGGTGGGTCTGTGCCGTGAGTGGATTATATGATTAATTTTCTTTTTAATGGTACGATTTGATTGGATTGGAGGTGGTACTATGGAGGTCGGAGGACTCCGTCGGATTATTGGATATGGATATTGGATATGGATATTGGGTTTGGATTTGGAGTTGGGGTTGGTGTCAAACCCTAGGATCGCTTCTCCCTGTTCCTGTTAGCTTAGCTCCCGTTCCAATACGTACCTTGTGAACTGAATCAAAGGTAGTCAGGTTGTTGACTATCTAAAGGTGACTTGATCTGAACAAGAAAAGAGAAGTAAGGCCAGATAGTGCCGCGTAGCTATCCGTAAGTAAGTACAGACAAGTGTTATTGTTAAGCTCTACCAAAACATAGATTACTTAAAGACAATGTAAATTAAGCATGAAGAACAGAACTAGCTAAGTATATGAAAGAATGTTCTTATATATCTGTTCTCTGTATACTATTCTATATACTGTCTCGTATACCAATGGCATATACTATATACCCGACCATATACCCTCTCGTATACCCGCAGTCACGTGACTTGTGACATATAGCGGCTCAGTCCGGGTCCTGCCTGATAAGAGTTGCATCTCTCCGAGTGCCGCTCTTCTGTCTGACGTAACCGCCTCACTAGTCCCTTTAGCTAGCAGGGGTCCGTAACACCACTTCCCTTCCTTCGAGGTTCTTGTCCCTAAGAACATAAAGGTGGGTGCCCCCATGTGCGCGTTGGCGGGGTCTTTCAGTTCTCTTCCTTCCCATTTCACCAGATACTGCGATCTGCCGCTAATCTTCTTGTGGTCCAGGATCTTTTTGACTTCGTATTCTTGTTCCGTGTCGTCGTCAATCTCCACATTTTCTGCGATTCTAGCGTTCTTTGGTGCGGGTTCCAACAATGAGATATGAAACACTGGGTGTATTCTGTTCATTGATTTTGACAATCTCAACTTGTAGTTAACTGGTTCCTTCTTGTCTTCGATGACAAATAGTCCTAGCTTATGATGATCAAGCTTCTGACTTGATTGTTTTATCTTGATGTTTCTGTAGAATAAGAATACTTTCTCTCTCTTTTTTAGGTTAGGTTTTCTCCCATGTCTGTGGTTGTAGTATATCTTACTGTGCAAGTTCATGAACTCAATATCTTAAGATAACTGTAGATATATGTTTTCTATAAATGTGATAATATTCTCAGCTACTTTAGTAACTTGCTGTCTTTTTAATAGCGTTTCCAGAAACCTCGGGTGATATCCGTAATTAGTATAAAACAGTAAGACTCTAATAGTTAAGTAACTGATATTATTATATAAGAACTATACTATTAGTAATAGGTTTATCTAATCATCCTGCTAATAGTTTATATAATATCTCAGATATTGTTTAATTATCTGATTAACCCTTTCTATCTGCTCATTCATCTGTGGGTGGTAAGCTATTATTATTTATTCTTTTATTTCCATGAGATCTGCGAGTGATCTCTAGAACTTCAAGATAAATAATTTGTCTTGATCTAATATGATATATTTTGATATTTTATAATATATAATAATATTTTCTAGAAACAGTTCTACCATCTGTATTACTGTTATTATTATCTTGCTCAGTACAAGATAGATATATTTAATAAGATAATCAGTGATAACTGTAATAGTATTAAACCTTTTTAATTCCAGTAATAGATTAATAAAGTCAATTATTATCTATTTCTATAACTATTATAGCGCCTCCTGTACTTATATTTATCCATAGGGTTAGTATCTTACAAGCTTATTCTTAATATAAGTCTTATATTATCTAATATAATCACATACTTTTTATCTGAGGTTCGGAATATAGTAATTCCTTATAATTAATTTAATTATCTTTTCCACTTCTAAGTAGCCCTTGAGCGGTCTGTTATAATATCTAGCCATAATCTTTATCCTTATTACAATTAATATAAAGATTAATCTGTGAAAGTATGCTAGTCTATTTCCATTAATAGTGATCTTATCTGATAAATCCTTGCTCATTTCTTAAAATATTTTATCATTTTTCATGTCTTCAGCTAATTACTTAATTAAATCATTACTTATTTCCAACATTGCTGCTAGATTAGCCTTGTTATAGCTAATTAACCTATCCATATTCCGCTTCAGGATGGCCGGTTTAATAGCTTTTTCATCTAATTTATAGTCTAGCCTGCGGTTCAGCATATCTACATATCTATTCTCTGCTTCTTTACAGTATATAATTCTAAAGTCATATTATAACAAAATCTTAGCCCATCATGCCTATCTTCTAGTCAACTCTTTGGTTATTATAAAATAAGTCAAGTTCTTATGGTCTGTCTTTACAATGACAGTATGCTCTATTTTTTCAAGATAGATCCTTCACTGCTTAAATACTACTATTATAGCTAGCAATTTCTTGTTATGAATATCATAGTTAAGTTTCACTTGAACCAACTTTCTTAAGTAAAATATAATCAGTCTTAGCTTTCTGTCTTCTTCAGGTTGTATTATACATATACTAACAGCATAGTCCGATGCATCAGTTTCAATAGTGGTTTCTTTCTCTGGGTCATGCTGTATAAGTATTAATAATATGATAAGTCATTATTTAATATCTTCAAACATGCTCTGTTATGGTTCTTTCCACTGGTACTTCTTTAACTTCTTTATAAGTTTAAAGAATAGTATTATATAGATAGCGTATCCGTCCATGAATCATTAATAATAATTGACTAATCTGATAAACTACTGTAGTTCTTTCAGATTCCTAGATTAAGACTAATTCTATATAGCTTATACTTTAGCTTACTCAGTATAGATTCCCTCTGTAGATATTCAATATCCCAAAAACTCTGTTTTCTATATATAGAATTCATACTTCTTTAACTTATATTATAACTAATATAGGTATAGTTTATATAGAACTAGTCTTATATATCTCACGTATTCTTTCTCAGTCTTTAAGAAGATTAATATATTATCTAAATAAGTAATTACAAACCTATCAAGATATTTTTCAAGAACTTTATTAATATATTATTGAAATAATGCTGATATATTAATAAGCCTAAATAATATAACCAAGTACTTAAAGTATCTATACTTTATTCTGAACGTGGTTTTCCATTCTTTATCTTCTATAATATATATACGATAATAAGCATTCATAATATTAAGTTTAGTAAACCACTTTATTCCTTATATCTTGTCTTGGATTTCTAAAATCAAAGATAACGGGTGTTAATCCTTAATTATAATAATATTCAGTGGCTGATAATTCATATATAGCTGTAAACTGCTGTTCTTTTTTAATATAAATAGAACTCCATGTTCTGCTGGTGACTTTAAAGATCTAATATTATCTTTAGCCAGCTGGTTATCAATATATTCTTATAATGCCTGTAATTCTTTTTCAGATATTAAGTAAATCTTTCTATATATCAGTAATTTCTCTTTCTCTATAGAAATAGTATAGTTATACTTTCCGTGCTGAGATAATTTAGATTACTCTAACTGCTTGAACAAGTCCTTAAATCTCTTATACTGTGGTAAAATCTGCGCATTACTCTTGACCGTAGTTAAAAGTTCCCATGAATCTTCTAGTCCTTGGACAATCACCTCAATCTCTGTGTTAGAACTATTAATACTGTACTCTCAGTACTTATTTATTATTATTAGTACCTATCCTGATAATTCTATGAGCCAATCTTTCTATAATAACTTGATTACTGCTATTACTTGTGCAACTATACTTGAGATGCCATTTTTCTCTAAGTTACCTTCAATATCTAGTGTATTAAGCTTTTATAACAATCTTAACCTCCCCTTACTAGATTATTTAATCCTTACTTCAGCTCCTTGCTGAGTAGCGGGCTGTATAGATCCAGACCCCATACCTGGTTCTTGCTGGTGTTATCTTAAATAATCATAATTAGTAAATTAAAGACTCTCAGTCTTCCAATCAATCTACAGATTATGATTCCTGAGCCATAAAATCCCTAATATAATATCATACTATTTTAAAGATATCACATCAAAATCTATATACTTATAGTAACTCTTTATAATCATAAGTATAGTTCCTAACTTGACTGTTAACACAAGAATTCCCAAATTCTCTCTATTCAGTCCTACAATTAGTTCAGATTCTGCTTTCTATTATCCAAATATCTTAAGCTATTATATAAATTACAGGTATATGAAGTTCCCAGTCACTCCAGAATCTACCAGTACTTGGATTAGTCAATCTAATACAACTGTTTAGATCTTCAGGTATAGTCCTGATTCTGTAACTGCTAACTACTATTCCGGCTAATTAGATTCTAACTATTATAAATATCTTCTTAGAAATCTTGAACCTTCTATTTTTACTGTATAATATATTATATACTGATCATTAAAACATGCTAGTCAATATATTAATCTATAATAAAAATATTTCTAGTATTCTTTATATATATAATCAAAGATAGAACATGGACAGTGGCTTGCCTTAACCCTAACCACTTCCAGTATCCTAGATCAGTAGTTAATAATATACTTCTAATCATGATATATTAAGTATATATTTATATAACACACAAGCCAAGAAAGTTTATTATATCTTCAGTAATCTTTACTTCCTTTAAAATATATATATAGATATGGTTTATCACATCAAGACTCTGTTCCTGCAATATTTACTTTCTAATTAATTTTTAATAGCTAGTAATAATAGTCCGTATTATCTTGTCCACATGTTAAGCAAACTTTTAGATAACAAGAATATCTTTATAAATATTATTTCTAAGTCTTGTTCTATGATTCTCAATATTTTAAATCCCAATACGGGCAATGCTGCATAATCATCTTAAGTTCTAGATAAAATCATGCTAGATTCTTCAAGATCTTCTTCAAGATACAGTTTAACTAATAAACAACATTCTCTTAATCGTTCTTCTGGTTCTCCTTATCCTCATCTTACTATAATAAACAGAGTTTACTAATTTTTAATAGAGGTTTTTTAGGGGTATCAGGTATCTCACTAAGTCTCTTCTTACTAAGTTTAAGATCTTTAAGCAGTATACTGTACTCTTTATCTAATAGTTTATTTTCATTCTAAACTATACTGAGATAGTCATTTCTCGAAACTAGCTTATAACTATTATTATTAACTTCTATAGTCCAAACTAATAATACAGACAATCATCAATCCTCTTATTAACTAGGTAGTACTGTTAACTCATCCGGGATAGCCTGTTATCTCAACCAATCATAATATATCTTGTTCTTTGATAGCTAACCATGCTAAATAGCATGTAGCTTCTTACTACCTAATATCTGTATTGCAGATTCCGTCCAAACCTCGTACTGAATAGCGGTGATATTATAGACTCCTCTACCTTGATCTTGATTCATAACACTCAATTGTTTCTGAGGCTATTTCTGACTACAATTCTTTAACTGATGACCTGCTTTGCCACAGCTAAAACACAAGCAGTCTCGTTTACACTGTTCAAGTTCCTCCTTGGACACTCGAGTCTGTTAAGTCTAATACTGTGCTGCATCCAGCTCCATGGGTTTCAGCCCATAGGGATCTTCGTATCCCAAGCTCCTAGGTTGTGCCGACCTTCTGTTATTGGCTCGGTAACCTAGCTGGTTATTACATTAAGATATAGACCCGCTAGTCCACCAACCCTCTTATCATTTCATGTTAAAGTCGTACAACTTATTATCAATCTTAACTACTGCTTTAATCATCTTAGCCAAGATATCCGATCGTTCTTACTAAATGATTTTCTCTTAGATCTCTATCTTGAGTCCTTCTTCAAATCGTGAAATATAAATATTATCATCCCAGTCTAGATAATTAATAACTTGCTGAAACTCTGAAATATACACAGATACTGATCCCGTCTACTTGAATCACTATAACTTTTACTTAATATTCTATACTGCATCAATATCTCTGAACATCTATTTAAGACGCTGTTTAAATCTGGCATAACTAATAAAAAATCATTTTATATCATTATCTTGATTACTTACCGACTTTTCTTATTACTTGTAGATATATAGTTTAAACCAATCAAATACCGCTCCGGTAAGGTAAGTAGACGTAAAAAAGATCTTGTTCTCCTCATTTCTGAGTCTTTCTTTATTCATGTTAAGATACAGATCTAACTGGGTCAAGAAAGCTCTGAGCCGCGCTCGTTTGCTGTTAAATAGCTCAGGTGGTCAGACCTTAACAGATTTGACTGATAAGCAACCTTCAAGTAACTGGTTCTATTGTTCTAAGATAGTGATGCTTTCTTGTAGCTGACCAACCATATCCATCAGTTTCTTGGTCGTCGGGCCCTGCTGCTGAGGCGCTCGCGATATGTTTGATATAGTTAACATAATGACTGGTTATCACTGGATAACACTTGTACTGACTGGTGCTCAATGTATCAAACCCTAGGATCGCTTCTCCCTGTTCCTGTTAGCTTAGCTCCCGTTCCAATACGTACCTTATGAACTGAATCAAAGATAGTCAGGTTGTTGACTATCTAAAAATGACTTGATCTGAACAAGAAAAGAGAAATAAGGCCAGATAGTGCCGCGCAGCTATCTGTAAGTAAGTATAGATAAATATTGTTATTAAGCTCTATCAAAACATAGGTTACTTAAAGATAATATAAATTAAGCATGAAGAACAGAACTAGCTAAATATATAAAAGAGTGTTCTTATATATCTATTCTCTATATACTATTCTATATACTGTCTTATATACTAATAGCATATACCATATATCCGACCATATACCCTCTCGTATACCCGCAGTCACGTGACTTGTGACACATAGCGGCTCAGTCCGGGTCCTGCCTGATAAGAGTTGCATCTCTCCGAGTGCCGCTCTTCTGCCTGACGTAACCGCCTCACTAGTCCCTTTAGCTAGCAGGGGTCCGTAACAGTTGGATAGAGTGGGTGTGACGGGCTCAAGAGCCCAAGAATTACTCAAGGTATGTGAAGATAAGTAGAAGTTGAATTCTCTAGAGAGCTATCTAACTACAGGTTAAATAATTCTTCTTATAACTAATCTTTCTTAAAGATTTTCTATATAATATTAAGAAGTCTTCATATCTTTTAACTAGTTTCTCTATAATTTTAAGAAGTATCTTAGATTTCTTCTTTTTTTATTAAATAATTTCTATATTTCTTTAAGTATTATTAATTTAGAGTTGTAAGACTAGATAAGCTAAAATATAAAATATTCTAGTTTTAAATAACTAATAAAATTTATTTTTTAATTATTTTCTATTTAATCTTGATATAATAAGACTAATATAGATATTAACAGAAAAGAGTAGATAAGTTTATATTAAATATTATAGACTTTTATTTTATAGAGTTTTATAACTAGTTCTCAAGTAGATATAGTATAATATTGTTACGGACCCCTGCTAGCTAAACAACTAGTGAGGCGGACTTGTCTGGCAGAAGGCCACGTCCGGGAAAGACAAGGACTCTTATCGAGTAGAATCCTGATCTGAGTAACCGACGCCTGAAATGGTTACACAGCACGTGACCATAATGGACATGTTACTGACACGCCACAACATGTCGGCGCTATGACAGAATATGGCAGCGACATGAGATAACATATCAGTGATATAATATATCATGATAATGCCATAATGAAGGATAGGATATAAGGACACTCTTTCATGTACTTAGCTAGTTCTGTTCTTCATGCTCAATAACACTGTCTTTAAGTAACCATATGTTTAGATAGCTTAACAACAATACTCATCTGTACTCACTTACGGATAGCTGCGCGGCACTATCTGGCCTTACTTCTCTTCTCTTGTTCAAGACCAGTTATTCCTAGATAGTCATCAGCCTGATACATCCTCGATTCAGTTCGACGGTACATATACCAGTGAAGCTAAGCTAACAGGAACAGGGAAGCGATCCTAGGGTTTGACATTATACTGATTATAAAGATAATAAATTAATTAAAAAATATATTATTTTCTTTGCCGGAAGCTTAGTCAACTATTTAGTAAGAAAGTAATTTATTTTAGTACTGTTATTTATTATTACTAAATTCTGTGTGTATAACACTGCTGTTAAAGATATCTTATATTAAGAAATTAGTAGCAGTATTTAGTCTTAAAATTTTTAATAATAATAAGATCCTGATCTACAGTGATATTACTAATTTTCTTACTATTTTAAATCATGGTCACTACAGTTAGTTAATTAAATAGATTGACAACCGTTACTTTTTTATAACGGATTTAATTAAAAAGAGAAAGATTAAGATATTCTATATTCTAAAGAAGAAGAACCCTGTAAACAGCTTTATTAAAATACTTGGTTTAAAAATATTCTCTGTATTTAAATATTTACTGAATATAAAATCTTATTTAGTAGTAGGATCACTACATGCTTAATACTTTACACTGCTAGAACTTATTTAATATTACTATTTTATTACTTAATTAAACAGCTGGCTTTATGTATACAATATTTAGTATCCCTGCTTACTTAGGAGGCTGTATTCAGATAGCTGGTTAGTTAATAGGCAAGCGCGTTATATGTTTCATTATATTGGTCACTGTGTTGTTGTCCTTTTCATCCCGTGTAGCAGAAGCCTCCTAGCTAGTCAACCAATATCACTTGTTTTCTTCGGCTCCGTGTCCTAACATCCTATGTGCAAGGTACCAGGTTTAGTATATGTATAGCTAGCTGAATGTTTATGCTTCGAATGGGAGGGATAGAATGGTTGGGATGCCCGAGATTCTACTGTATAGAGACTAGTAGATCTGCCCCAAGGGAGAGGAGGGGGGTTAGCACCCATGTCACAATACTGGATAAACAAAAGGAGGAGAGATGGATTTATGCACCTGATCAAGAGATACGACAATCCCCTGAGATATCTATAACCACATGCAGACACGAGGGTTCTAGTTCCCGCGGCCTGTGCATAGCATGCCATGGATAGTCATCCTACGTTGCATAAAGCGCCATTCACGTCTCCGACTAGCCCAATTGTCAAATCGTAGAACCCGATCTTCCGAGGCACCATTTGCACCCTCAATGATCGCCAGTTGAGTAACCAGCAAGGACCATGATGTGCCTGAACTAAAGGCGCCTCATATATGCATGTGTCCGGAGAGACCAGATTGCCGCCTCGTTTCTGTGGATATTAGAATCAGGGAGCAAACTTGTACGACCGTGCCTGTCATAGCTTCTTGTTGCGGAGAAAGAACAAGTGAATTATGATTGCAGAAGCTGGTCGTCAACTAGCCGGGAAGGGGAAAGACTGCTCGGTCCTACCAAGAGATGGGAGTGGACAGTGGACATGTGATGGTTCGCGACACCCTTGTCGAGGGCATAACCTAGATGGGTAGGTCTGGGGGGTTCGTTCCGGACCAGCCCGCCTGAGGGTGCAACACAGCCGATAAGGCTGGCAAGATCTCCCCGACAACCAGACAACCAAGGGATCGAAAGGATGCCAACATTAATCCTGGCGACTGGCGAAATAGGTAGGTAGTAGCAGGTATCTAGTTGTCACGGCGCATACGTAATGGGGTAAATCTCCGATTTTGGTCGACGATGCTGGGGTAACGAACTGGTCGTCATGCGGAGCAGCAGCGTACACAAACACGGAGAGTTACACTGCAACCTGCCCAGGCCGAACTAAATCAATAAGTCTCCTTGATTTGAGCAGGGGCCTTCCTGGGAGTATCCCTGTCGCGCGTTTCTATTTTGGAGGGGTTGGCTTGACGGCCCCCTCGGGGTCGACGACTAGGCTGTCAGCTTTTAAATTAAGTAGCTGAATGGGCTGCATCCTAGCTACCAGGCTAAGGTAGCTAGCTGATCAAGTTCGGTTTCAGGTCGTGGTACGGCGAGAGAGAGAGAGAGAAAGTCAGCATGGGATTTTAGTTAAGCGCCGTACGGTGTACACAGTGGATAGGATATGGAGGATGGGGGTTGGATCTGTCGTATCGCGGATTAAGTTGAGGGCAGGAATGGAAGGCTCATCGAACATGTAGAATGGAAGTTAGAAGATAAGATATCAGGAAATATGATCCATAACCCAAGGGATAGGATTGGTTGTTCGCTTTCACCACCTCCCAGCGAATTTAAGCTAAATAAGCTCGGCCCTGATAGGCAATAATTGGGTCGCGATCATGGATCACGCTGGTTGGGACGAACCAGTAGATAGAAATCTATCTAGTTGGGATGGGGGACATCCCTACCGTGGATAGGATACCCAAGGGTCAGAACGGGGCCAGTAGATAATAAATGACTACTGTATACGGAGCAGCACCATGGATGGAATTTTTCGTTGTGATTCAAGTGGAACTGAAGAGTAATAAGATGACTAGTAAGTACTGTACTGTGTACTGTGTAAGTGCTAAAGGAGCGGTCCCCTGCTAGGCGGTGGTACCTAAGGCAGGTACCGTGGCCGGCGTGACCGGAGGTACCTCAGTACCTGAGGTGTCCAGGCCGGTAATCTTCCGGGCGGCCAATCAGCGGGCGGGCGCAGGCGATGACTGCCCGGTTAGTCGTTGTAATGACGATCGGCTGCCCCAGCGGCTCTAGCAGCGACTTTCCGTGCCGGCTTGAAACAGTGGTTCGATGCCCCTGATGACTTGGCGCCCTCTCATTCCTACGCTCTGTCGGTCCTGTCTGTCGGTCTGGCTGCTGGCTGATATCATCCACTCACGAAGGATATGCCCCCCGTGTCGTGTCTGCTGATCAGGCGCCTCTAGCAGTAGCATGACCGCACATGTTCGTGATCTGGAAGTACAAAGTAGTAACCAGGAACCAGTAAACAGTATCCCGTAAATAGTAGATAGGCAAATAGTAAACAGGACTCCATAAGCAATCCAGGGAAACGAGACTAGCAGCATCACGGTCATAACCCGAGTGAGGACCCGACTGGGAAAACCCCAACGGCCGGTCGAACCAGGCAAGGGACATCACCCACGTTCAGGCCCTTGATTTAGTCTTCCCTTGGGATCGGGCGTCCATCGCGCCCTCTTTCCTCCCATGCGCAACGAAAAAAAAAGGAACAGAAAAGGGAATAAAAAGGAAAAAACAAAGAGCATTTCGTCACCTCGTGAGTTCTGCATCCACCATGTACACATTAGGTAGCTACATAGATAATAGGAAAGTCGGTCGTCCCCACTAACGTTCTAGAGTCAGTTCCCAGTCCACACTCGTATAGACCACTGCCCAGTAGCATCCCTCACTCCTCTATTATTTCCGAGGCCCAATGCAGCATCGACCTACATCATGGTACGTCTAAGTACCCAGTAGATAGATACCTGCCCAGTGACTGGATAAAAGGTCAAGAAATATCGGGCTGCCCTGTCTTTCCTCAACGTTGGTATTTGATTTTGTGGACCTCGTAATTTTGATTGATTTTATTTTCTTTCTTTTTTCTTTTTTTCCCTGCGCGTTTCTTTTTCCGACTGCCATGTAGCTTTAACTTGTGCCATTGTGGATTTGCTTATGATTTTAAATTGGGGCGGCGATGATTATTCCTGGCAAAGAGATCCGACCCGTTGACCCGCTTTTGCTTTCCCCAGCCAGCACAGCAAAGCAGCGGCAAAGCAGCGAGTGACGGATGATTATTTGGTGGCCAGGTAAGGTCGAAATTCCGCGCCTGTAAGTATCTAGTATGTAAGTAAGTAGGTACATAGTAGTAAATATGTACGTAGCTCGTTAGCAGGAAGCAATAATAATAATACCGGGTCTATATTAGTCTTTTTACTATAGTATTAGCATGACGATGATGATGATGATGATGATGGTAAGTATGGTTATTATTATTATTATTTTCTAGGTCGTATTGCTTCGACTGTACTGTACACCACCGCCATCTCTTTCTTCTCTTTCCCTTCCCATCACCATCATCACCATCATCTTCTTTACTTCATCTTCTTCCCGTTTCCTCTTTTTATTTCCTTTTCTGTCCTTCGTGTTCTGCTTCTCTTCCCTTTCGGTTTCTCTTCTCTTCTTCTTCCCTCGGGCATCTCTCCCCCCCCCTGGGTCGGCTCATCTCTCCCTGGGCCTTGATCGCGCCGGTCTTCCTGCTCCCCTCGCGCCGCCCCCCCTGTCCGGTCCCCGATCCAGCGACGGTCGACACTCCACCAGCACCCCTCTTGTCGTGGCTACCACTGCTGCTGCTGCTGCTGCTACCACCACCACTACTGTTGGTGCTGCTTGTGGCTGCATCTTCAATCTTCCCTCCCCCTCCCTCAATTTCCCTTCCCCGTCGATCATGCTCCTCAACGCAGTCTACACTCTGCCCTGTCAATTCCTCCAGAAGTGTTGAAGTCGGTACAGCGCCTGGGACGAGTCCACCAAGCTCTCCCGTCGAGTCCCGCCGTGCTAGCAACAAGTAGTGGCTCGTGGTGGTTAAATTCGCGTCTCCCGAGGCTGCTCCCCTTCCCGCCCGCGTCGGTCTCGTCGCTCCGATCTCCAATTCCTCTCTCTTCGAGCCGCAGACTCTCCCCCCCCAACGCATTACCCACCTGGGTAGCGATTACTCGTGGGCAGAGGCGAAGGACAAGAGTCAATTCTGCAGTGCAGATATTCCCCTTTCTTACAGCGACCTAAAACAGGAACTCAGACCCCCCAAAAAAGAAAGAAAGAAAGAAAATTCGGAATTCGCAAGAACAACCAGCTGATGCGTTTCTTTGACAAACGCGATTATTGATCATTCTTCTTTATTCCGCCGACGTTTGGCTGCGTTAATCTTTGCTGGTTGCCTGACCTGGTGTCCTCCTTTTACCAACATCCGCTGCTTTCGTCTGGGATCAATACCTGTCAGTCGCTACCCTTGCCATCCCTTATCGGTGGTCCTGATGGAACCCCCGATGACTGAGACTAACTCGAGACATCAGCTCAGCTGCCCGACCGGACCCTCCAGCTCCGGATCGATCGGTCACAGGTCCCTGAAAAAGAAAGAACCCCCCCAAAAATTTCTTCTTAATACCCTCTGGAGGGCCTGGACGTGTCGGACTTCAGTCACCGATCGCAATTGCTCGAACAGAGCGAACCGAGGTGATCGCTCATCTACCGTCCCACGTCTGCCTGGAGAGGCTGTCTCGGACCGTACACGCAGCAGTCCTCAGTTCAAGGCTCTGCTGCGTCTTCAGTAAACGAAGGTATGTTGTCTACACTGTCTATTCACAGCATTACATCGATCTACCCCTCTTCTACACACCTCCCGCTCCAGCTCCGCCATTCGACGATGCGCCGCTGCACCCCCGCAAGTCCTTGTCCGAGTCGGCGCGACATTCACGACGGAAGAGCGGTTCACGCCGCGCGAGCGATGCAGCGCTAATTGCTCAGCAGCTAGCCTCCTTTCCGGTCCTGACAGCTTCTTCGGCTATGAACGACCCCCAATCGCAGCCCCTGCCGCTCACCACCC